CTGTCTGCAAACATATACACATTATTACAGCAGTTCTCACTTCTTACCCCAGTTAGTTTAGTTTTTTCTGCATATTATACAGGCAGCTGACTAGATCACCTCTGTCACAAGAGAAAATGAACATCCGTAACTCAAATTTTTCAATGTAAGCTGCAGCATATTAGCCCAAACCATCAACAAAAGTCAGCCTATGCTTAGATAGACCTAACAGTGGAGTGCAGACCACATGCTCCCATCTGCCAGCTCTGACGCACAGGGGAGGGACCTACAGCAGGATGGACAGTTAAAGCAGCGAAACCTTAATATCTGCAACAGAAAGATTTACGCGAGATGGTGCATCAAGACCCTAATCTGAACTGCACACAGGCTCTGCCCCTTTTCACTCCCCTTTAGCAGCTGTCACCATGGCTCCACAGGGCGTAGAACCTCTGTCCCCTCCTTTCCTCCTCAGCTCAGCCTAGCCCAGCCAGGGCAGGGGCTGCTGCCAAGCTGCTGAGATGCTCAGGGTCGGGGGGGCACAGAGATGCCTTGGCCAGGAGGCAATTCACTGCTGCACTTTCTGCAGCTGCTCCTACAGCTGTTTGCAGCCTTCCCCCGCCTTGGTTACCCATTTTCTTAAGTGCAAAGAAGGGCATTGCTGCTACGGCTCTGCTTACTGACTGCAGGCAGCTGAAGGCAGCTCATTTCACAAAATTCTACAGCAGCTCTCTTGCAGAAGAGATTCACATAGGGAATAATATCAAAAGCACTGGCTTGCTTTCAAAAAACAAATCTTTAAAAGCTGGAATGATCGTAAAGAAAATGCTGGCCATACAACCTTTTACCCAGTGCATTATCCCACCCAAACCCTTCAGCACAGCACAGTCTGTTTGTAAGGTATGCAAGTATCTATCTAATGGCATATTGATCTCTGAAGTTCTGTAAATTACATAAGTGAGATTACAGCCTCTTCCTCCGCCCATCCCAAAGCACACATTTAAAGATCTGTGCTGACTGGGAACCCACTTCACAAGCACAGTGCCCAGTTAATGGGAAGAAATCTTTACATTCCTGCAGCTTAAACATCCTAGCTAAGGATTCTTTAATTTTCCACTGTCATCAAGCACGACCAGTTCTAAAGTAGGACCTTCACAGCGAGCACTAGACTTGAACACGGGTAGCAAATCTACCAACTTCTGAAGTATTACTTACATTTTAATAATATTCGTTTTGCAGTACAAATGTAATTTCTGACTATCTAATCCTAAGCAGAATTTAACTGATGACAGCTTTCAGCTGACACTAAATGATTTTATTCTAGTTTAAAACAAACAAGCAAACAAAAACACAAAGTTGTTCCAGGCTAGTTCTTCCCCAACAATACACAGTAAACCTCGTGATTTGAAAACCCCAATCCAAGATGACCTTTCTAACCACAAAGTGGTGAAGCCACACGGTGTTATCTACCTGGGACAGAACTTGGCCTATCCAGGCATATTCAAAACAGTTACAGTGAGTGAAACAAGTATCAAAACACAGTGCAACACATTCAGTGCATCCACAAAGGTTAAAGCATTTTAACTGATCTTTCACCAACTGTGCTTCATTACCTAGCTAACCTTAAATTTCTGTGCTCCAACCATATAAATCCAGACTTATTTCTAGACATTAATTCAAAGCATAAGATAAATTTAATAACTTCAAGTTATTAAATAATTTTGAATGAGCCCAGCAAACTAAGTCTGAAACCACCTCCCAAAATAAAGTAAAGCAGCTTTTATTTAGAGATGGAAACCTCATTCCCAGGAGCTAGCTTTTCAAGTTAAGCTCTTACATTTTTGTCCCAAGTTAAAAACAAAGTGGTTACAAAGAAACACACTAAGTAGGTTTTACAACCTTTTACCTGGATCACCTATACAAAAGCTACACCTTTGGTAAAACTGACGCAGATTTGTCATGCTACCTTTATCCCTGCACAATGCATTCCATCTCTTAAAAAATATTACTCTCTCCAGGGTTAGCAGCATCTCTTACTCCCAGCATTTGGAGGAGGGTGGGGGGAGAATAAAGCTGCAATTAAACACACATCTAGAAACAGTGCTGGAGGCTGTAACCTTGAGTAAAATCGTTTTTCAGCCTCCAGTCTGCCACTGCCAGCGGAAGCCCTGTATCTGTACTTAAGCACAGATAAACGGTTTTGCCACCTTCAGCCTTTAGCTTCCAGGATGCCAACTCCTCTGAAGTTTTTCCAATAGATTACCCCCAACACAAAGATGATGGCTTGTACTGTGTTTAACCAAATGGACAGAAAACACAGCTGGCACAAGCTTTGTCAAGGATTTAACAGAAAAAGCATTTCATATATACACACTTCCACCTCCTGCATTTGCTCTACATTTAAGTCTTCTATACCACTTCACTGCAATGCACATTTATAGTGCTGAAAGAACGGCTGCATATCAATGACATCAGCTCCACAGATTTTACCTGTTTTATATATTCTCAACTTCACACTCCAGCATAATAAAAGTTTTCCTGCTCCGGAGATGTAACACATCAGAGCCGGAAGTTGTCAGTGCTGCAGCAATCATGGGATGCATGCTTAGCAGTCACCACTCAAGGCTTCCAAGAGCGTGCAGCACATACATAGCAGGCATTTACATACAAGCTCCATTTGTTCCACTGCCATTACACTTATTTAGGGGAAAAAAAAATTTCATTCTCGCAAAAGGAAGCCATTAAAATTAAGATACTGTTTCCCATTATTCCATAGCAAAAGTACTTCAGTGGTATAATAAAACAGCTGCCATTCTTCTGTAAAGCACACCATGTCAATAAAACAGAGTTCTGCCAGTTGAATGCAGGCCACTCTCAGGGCAGATGGCAAAGACTTGAGGATGAGATCCAGCATAACATCATCTTCCTGAGACCGGCTGTGTACCTGACAATTCCTTCTGCTGGGAGAGCTCTAAGAGCACGTTCCAAAAGCAGGGACCCAACGTAGCAATTCTTGGGTGCTTCCATGTCTGAGCCAAAAAGCAGTCTGTGAGTTATATGAGAAGGAGGGGGTGGCTGTATGGTGAATGCGTAGCATGCTTCAGGTTGCATTCACATGCTGCAACACAACCTGAGAGTCTGATTTATGAAGTGTAATAAAGGATTTTATCTAAGTCCATAAAGATGGAATCAAAAAGCCTAAAAGTACCTTCCCCAGTGCGTCTGGGACGTCATCAGCTGCAGATGACGAGTTCTCACCCTGACAGGCAATGCCACGAGTCAGACTCAATCAGCCATGTGTGATTACAATGCTCTGAGGTCCTGGTCTCTCTTTAGCCTGCTCTGACCTGGTGCCAACTGCCTACTACAAAGAAGCAGAGTTTCAAGGTCTGATCTGTGACCTTACAGGAGATCCCAGATCACCAGCAACAGAGTGCCATTCCCTGGCTTAACAAAGTAGTAATATTAAAATCTGAATTCAAAACAGCTCCACTACAAAATTATTTCTCCTATTTTTTGGATCCCAGCCTCAATCCCAATAAATATTTTTATCAGAAACCACACTTCGAAAGAAAGCAGCTTGCAAGCAATGCTTCCAGTCTGCTACACATCACCATTTTGACGTTCCAGGTGGGGAAAAACAAAATTGAAACTGTAAACCCCACGTGAGTTTGGAAGCCTATCCTCTAGCACCCTGTGATGAAATGGACTAAAAATAACACCTTCAAAACAAACACCAAGCCCACACCAAAAACCCTGCACCAACCCTCTGACCCTACACCCCAGCACTGGGAGAAGCACGACCAATAAGGGCCTGAGAACCACAGGCAGCAGGCCTAGAGCACGCAGCCGGAAAGGACTTTCTCACCCACAAGTTACGCTGAAGTGTTTTAAGGCTTCCACCACCACGTTACGATGCTCAGAAAGGCAAACGGCCCCTCTATGTAACCATCATCACTTCGCTGTAACAGGAAACTCTCACCTGCAGCGCCGGAGAGCATTTCATAAGCACGAGCTGATGACAAAGCACCCAGGGAGGGTCCTGGCTGTGCACAACTCGAGCGATATCACTGCTAATACGGGGAACAACTTCAGACAGCAGATTCTAAAGAAACTGTTTTGAAATCCTCGGGAGAGTGCGGCGACTTGAAGACATCCGTGAAAGTAAAACTAATCAGAAGCCGACTTACAGTGCTCGGGGGCCGTCCTCCCACCAACGAACCATACCCGAGAGCCCGCTGCGACCGGGCAGCACCCCGACCCCGCTCACGGCCGCGGGCGCAGCCCGGCTCAGAGGCGGCACACCCCGCGGCCCCGGGCCGGGCACAGCCGCTCTGCCATCTTAGCGACGACGACTGAGCCGGCGCTCCCCGCTCCGGTGAGGAGACCCGGGCGGCGGCCACTGGACAGAGCCGTCCGACCAGCCAGCCCCGAGCCGGCGGCCTCCTTCCTTCGCCGGGAACGATTTATGTTATCATCACCGCGGCATTTTTTCCGACTTAGCTGTGAAGTCGCTCCGCCCGGCCCCGATTGTGCAACGGCGAGGCCTCGGCGCGGCGCTTCCGCTGCCGGTGGGAACGTGCGGGGCGGCGGGGCCGAGCCCGGCTCCGGGGAGCGCGGAGTGTGCGCGCCGCTGGATCCCGGAAAGGGCCCGGAGCCGCCGAGCCGCCGCCATCTTACAATGCGGGAAAGGCGCCGCACGCCGCGGGGAGGCCGGGAGGACCGCTCCGCGCCGCGGGAGAGCTCAGAGCGCCCGGGGAGCCCCATCCGCCGCGGCCGGAGCGGGCGGGAGCTCGGCGAGGTCGAACGCGAGTGGCGGGGCCGTCCGCAGGGCGGCCTCCGGCCGGCGGGGTGCGGCGGCGGCGGCCCGGGCCCGGCGGGGCGAAGGGAGAGCGGCCGGGCCGCTCTCGGCGGGCGGTGTGGCGCAGCGCCTCCATGATGAAACGACAGAAAAAAAAAAACAAAAACAAAAAACCAAAGCAAAAAGAACGGCGAGAAGCGAGGGCGGGGCGCGGGCCGCTCACCTTGTTGATGCGTTTCAGCGCCATTGTGTGCGAGTGCCGCCGCCGCCGCCGGGGCCGTCTGTGCGCCGCGGTGACTCCGCGCTCCGCTCGCGCTGCGGGGGGGCCGGGAGGAGGGCGCGAGGAGGAGGAGGAGGAGGAGAAGGAAGGCGGGGAGGGGGAGGGGGCAGCCGCGCCGCTCCTTCCTGCGGAAGCTACCGGGGGGGGCGCCCGAGCGGAGAGTGGCGGCCAGCGGAGACCTCCGGCCGGCGGGCCGTGCGCCTGGGGGAGCGCTGCGCCCGCCGCTTCCCGTCACCGCCGGGAAGAGCAGCAGAAGGAAGAGGACAGCCGCGGGGGCCCGACAAAGAGGAGCAGAAGAGGGCAGCAACAGCACCGCCGTTGGCGGCCGGGCCCGAACCCGGGGGGAAGAAGGAATGGAACGCGCCTGACTCCAGCCACACCCCAGGGCCGCACACGGGAGGGGCGGGAAAGCGGCGTCTGGGGGCACCGTGGCTCCGCCCCCACAGCGGGGAGGGGGAGTGTCTCGCGAGAGGTGGGCGCGAGCCGCGCCGACGTAGAGGAAGGGAGGGGTGGTTTGGGCCCTGCCTGCCGGGCGGCGTTTTTGCGGTGCCGCTGCTGCTGCTGCTGCTGCTCCTCCTCCTGCTCCTCCTCCCCCCGGTACTGACGGCGAACCGCCGCCCTGCCCGGCATAGCTCTGCGCTCACAAAATGGCCGCGGTTGGGCTTGCATCGCTGCGATGACGCGGCGGTATCCTTCCGCGTGAGTGCACTTCGCACCTCTGCGACCCTGTGTCATTGCGCTGCTGCGGAAATAAGCGAGCCGCGCGTGCTCGCTTCTGCCCCTACAGAAACGTAAATTAAGGCAGCCCCGTCCTGGGCTCACGGTGCTGCTGCCCGCCCGGCCGTGTGCCGCAAAGGGCAACACAGCGCCCGGGAGAGAAAGGAGGGTCCCGTGGAGGAGCGGCGATCCTGGAACAAAGGGCCGGGCTGAGGGACGACGACCCACCAACACGTTCGTTACAATGGACTGACAGCACTGCTGTCGGTTTTTCGCTACCTTATGTGTTACGACTAGCCCGGAGGAGGCAGTACATTATAAAGTTCCTTCACTTAATGCTCATTTCACGGTGCTGTCTGCATACTCAGGAAATGCAGCCCCGCGCTGTTCTGTTAATGTTCTTATTATCTTAATTAGGAATAGTGCTGCAAAACAGCTCGCTGTTGCTTGCCCAGTGTGGCTTAGGCAGTGCTGGTCTTCCAAAGCACCAGTACAACTGTATTTGTCACAGACATTGCATCTGTCTTTTAAATTGCTTACACTGTCCCTTTTTCTTTATTCTTATCTCGGGAGCTTTAGATACTTACAATATTTCAGTTGTATATTTCTACTATAATAAAGACATTTGGTTTGCCTTTGGCACTTTGCTGTATAAAAAAGAAATAAAGAACTGCACAGACATCCTATTGAAAATGTGTACTTTTTATTTAATACAACGGGTATTTTTAATTTGGTAAATCAAGTTGTATTTGCATGCATTTCAGCAGTTACGTGTTAAAACCATCAGTTTTGTATTGTTCTTCTTTACAGCCATTACTGTAAGTGCTCAGAAATAGGTTTGCATATATTGCTTTAGAATACCTCTTTAGAGAAATATTGTGTTCAATGTTATTTATATATATATATATGTATCGATTTAAATATTTACCTTTAAATACGATTGGGAAAAAACTAAAAATAATGTTTGTTAAGGTATGAAAACCAGTCGTAGGCCATTTCTGCAAGTCACAGCACACAGTCATGTTTGGAGAACGTTGTACTTCTCATCTTCACCTCCTTTTTCTCAAACTCTAAGGTAAAAATTTTGTAGTTTCCTCATAGCTTTGGAAATGAATAAAAAAGTAGAATTTTTACTTAAGTATGAACACTTATGTGAGTAAGGCCTTGCAACCTTAACATATTTATGTGCCGTATATGTAACGAGTTTCTCACTTTTACTATATGTAGTAAGTGCGCTGTAATGCTACTCGCAGAGATACCTCATATTAGTAATGTAAAATGCAAGAGGCACAGATGATGGATGCTGAATATGAACGGGTGTGGCAACTTAGTGTGGGTCTACCTGGTCTATTTGGGTTTGCTTCATTTTAATTTGATTTTTGAAGCTAATTCTCAGAAGTGGTTGAATAGAACCATGTCTGCCATGTCTAGTTCTTACACACCAGTGAAGCTGAGTTAAATTTTCAAAGGTTTATTATGCAAAAATTGGAAACAAAGGGATATTGGCATGGTAATAAACAGTTCGCAGAAAATACCCACAACAAGCGAGCTGACTTGAATTTGATTGCTTTTTTAAATATAGCATTGCAGGTTCTTTACAGCCATGTGGTCAGCAACCTCTGAAGGGAGTTTTGCCAGTTTTCTTCAGCTGCTTTGTGATGGTCCAGCAGTGCAAGTGTGAATGGAGATTGCCTTGATATACTACTTCTCTCAGTTTAGAGAGGACTCAAGGGAAAAGCATTCCAGACTTAGTTTATAGCTTAGTGTATCTTGCTTGCACATCAGTGTCAGATTTTTTACTTTGGCTGTAAAATGACCAGTCAGTTTTACAATTTCAGCGTACTTTTCTACCTGTCTTAGAAACAGAAGGAGCAGTGAGCACCCCAGACATCAAGCAGCATTCCACTTACAATCCTTCATTATACGCAAGAGGAAAAGGGTCTTCTTTTTCAGGAAAAAAAACTGCTTCAACAAAAGCAAGACCCCCTTCTTATTAGTCCATACGGTAGATCATTATTTGTTCCTGTTTGGAGGAAGCAAAAGGCAATAGTTTCTGTGCTGAAAAACAAAACACTGAGAAGATGAAAAACAACAACAGCTCTCCCTGTTTGCACGTATTACCAGGCCTCAATTTTCTCTTCAGCATCCTGTCCAACTTGTTTTTCCCCTAATTATCATAAACTACGCTTGCAGACAAATCTCATTTTAGTCTGAGCAAAACTCACCTTATTGAGGTCCTGCCTGATTCAGTGGAGACCATGAGGAATAAGATCACAGAGAAAAGTTGATAAGATAGTTTGATTGCTTATTTTTAATGCAACAAGTAAAAAAGGCTGAGCTTGCCAACTCAAATGCCTGAGAATGGAAGAAAAGCAGCTTTGAGAAATCACTGGGTTCCATCTAACCTGTGTATAAAGTACCAAAGACCAGCAGCCCTTCCTGTATAGCTGGGGGCATTCCTCTTCGCAAAAGATGGCAAGGTTGTCCTAATGCCTTTGTGTGCATGCTCAGCTCCCTAGCTACCTCTGCGCCTATCACTTCTCTTTATGTTGGGAAGAAGACATAGCAAAACCCTTTCACATCTGGAATCCAGCCCAAGGTCAGTGCGTTAGGCAGCAGTTACTTTTCTAAGCAATATAAAAGGCTATTTTGTATTCCAGCTTGGCAACTCTTCATCATCCATTCTTTCTCAACAACTTCTCTGACACCCTCACTGAAACAATTTCCAAACTACTCCACCATTCTGTTGTATAGTAGTGCTTTCCGTCTCACTGCTAGGTGGTGGGGCAAAATAGCTTTTGCTTCTACATGCAAGGAGTTATAAGTTCTAACAGTTAAGTCCACACACAAGTCCCAGTGAAAAACCTGAGTGCTTTAATAATGGTGTGCTAAAGTTTCATGGCCTGCATCTTTTGGCCTTCAGGATTTTGCTTAACACTGCATTGCTTAGTACTTTTTTAGTCTTGTAGTGACAATATAGTCTTTTTCAGTTGAAGATTTTCCTGTTCCTTGAAATCCTTGGGAAAAGATGAGAGCTATTTTACAAGAAGTAAGTTTTGACAACATAAACTTCATTATGTTACTTGCAGAGACCTAAACAACAGTATGTCTGAAAATTGCTACAGGATATTTATCACTATTCATACAAAGTATTCATTTTTTTTCCCAGCAAAACTACCATTTCATCTAAAGGAACACAGATGCTCCTTTCAAGTCAGCAGCAGTTTGTGTCACCAAGAATGTTTATTTTCTGTGCCAATTCAGCCCTATGGATATTAAGTGTGAAACATCACAGATGAGCATATGCATGGTGTAATCACAGTGCTACTTTTGGAAAAAAAGATAAATATTCTTGCCATGATTTTACTAACTACATTACCTTTCTTCATTTGTATGAATTCTTTACATTCATGAACAAGCACACGTTGTATACGTATGGCAAAATAGCATCCTAAAGCAGGGGTGTGAAGGGCTAAGAGGTTAAGTGCAGTTGCTAACACAAGCTTAATTAAGCAGGTGAAACACCTCTCTGGAGCAAATCAGAGTTTTATCAGTTTCAGAAGGGTGAGTTACATCAGTTCAAAAAGATGCTTAATGATGACCCACCTTATGCCTTTGGAGCGGGTTATTTCTTCTCGTTACACCTGTTTTTTTGACCCCTTAGGCTGCCTTCAGAATGAATGCTGAAGCTGCAGGAGTTAACCAAAACTGACCACACTTTTGCAGCAGTACTTAATTTGGCCTATTGTGCTTGCTAAAGGAGATGTCAAAGGACTGTCCGTAGCCCTTCCAAGATATGACTATTTTTTTTATCACTTTGAGGTAAGTGATTACTAGTCAGATTCAAACCATCTTAACTCAGTTGCTCCTCTAATGCTTCTTCTAGGATGCAAACATAAACAGCGAACCACAGTCTTTAAGGGGTGTTTGGGTTGACAAATGGTTTGAACAATTTACCTAATATGAGGTAAACATTCAGGTAAGATGTACAGGATTAAAGTTTATTATTCAAACAGGCTAGGTAACATATTTAATGATTCCTTAGTACAGGTAAGGCTGGTCAGACTTCAGAACGTGCTGGCTTTAATTCATCTGGCTTGCTGTATTCTAAGTTCAGATTTCATTGTTTGATTAGGTATAGGAAATTATTTAGCCTGTACTAATCAATAAAGGTTGTGTGGTTTACACTGAAGCATATAAAGTCCCTCCTCTTAGCCAAGACAAGACGCTTCTCCAGAGAGCGCCAGCAGGTCCAGAAGTCCAGGGGCAAGGATTCTGTCTGAGCCCACCCCCCAGAACTTCAGCAAACTACCTGCCTTAACCATCTCCTCTTCATTAGAGGCAACAGTTTGCCTCTAAAGTTCTGGTCAACAGTTTGTGTATTTCTAGCTAATAATTTCTAGTTATGCTTCAGATGAGATAGCAGATTGACTTTTTATTTTCAGTCAGAGACTTTTTTCTTTGTTTTATGTAAAATATGGCTATGTTTCACTGGCAAAATTACATAACCTTGTACATTGCAGAGCTTTAATTGTCTGATGCCCTATTGACAAAATGTATAATAATGATTTAAGTAAACAAGAAACTCCACAAAAGTACTTCAGTGTTTTTTTGTTTTCTCTTTGAACTGACAGGAGTATGTGCTGTATATTCAGACAATGGATTTAACTAGCCAAGTATTGTGCTGCTGTGACTTATTTTACTATTTTACTTTTTTTTTGGGTTTTTTTGTGTCCTTTTGAGCAATCTCATTTTTAAAGATTTGGCTGATCTTCTCAGCTTCTGGTATGTCCCAGTTAAAATGTCCAAGAGCTTGCTTAGACCTCAAATATCCAGGTAATTACAGACAACTATGGCTCTTGGAAGGAAAGGATATTATTCTAGTTTGCTGTCTTATTGTCATTTGGGAAATATTGCTGGTGACTGTAAATCACCAGTACTGAAATTAGCCAGCTGTTACACTATTCATCATGATGGTTACAGGGATGGATCACGGCAGTATTTCTGAGTGAGTGGGTTGTGACACACAGAGTAGTCATGAAACACGGTCAGATGATGGCACCTCAGTGAAAATTTTGCACAATATAAAGCAAAGACAACCTGGCTTCTCCACTCCTGAGAACTTATTTTTCAAGGTCAAGCATGCTTTTCAGCCTCTCAGGAAATACAACACAATTTGTCACTTTTACAGCCAATAAATGTCAGTTCCTTTTTATGAAGACAATGAGGGTTGCAATTTCTTCCCTTTTTTTCCACATTCAATAATGGTTCTTCATCTGATTAAAATAAAACCTGTGAAAAATACTGGTTTAAATATTTGGTAGCAGAATCTAGAGATTTGCCCAATCATACCAATTTAAATGTGAGACAATTTGTTGGTCCCTTCTTAATATTTGGGGGTCTGTTACGTGATTTTATGATTTCTGCTCAGTTCCCATGTTGGAAAAACAAACACTGCTCTAATTAGGCAGAGAGGTTTTTGGAGATTAAATGATCCTCCTTACATCGTTTAGGATATTTGACAGTAACAAATCATATCAGACAGGCAATCTGAGGGACGATGCGTAGCACGCACTTACACTGTACCTGTTTCCCAAATAATTAGAACTTTTCTGGCCCCTAAGCTGTCAAAATCACATTTTGCTCAGGCATCAAACTGGCATAAAAGTGTAAAAAAAATTAAGTTCCTCCTGGGGAAGTAGTTTAAAATGATCTCAAACATCTTAATAAACTTACTGTAGACACTTGTGACAAGATAATTTTCAATAGAAGACTTTCTGCCCTAGAAAGAAAGTGGACTAGATCTTTTCCTATTTTCCAAGAGCACTGGATGGTGCTGGCATGCTGATCAAGATGAATGCTTCTTAACTAGTGTGTATTTCTTTTTCATTTTTCATTCAATTTCTACCTTCTATATTAATTAAGCCTGCATTTCCTGTGAAGTAACTAAACCTTGTAAGCTTTAAGATGGCATGGTTGTCACCTGCTTTTTGTCACAGCTGCTTTCACTGCTGATTAGAAAACATAAACTGATTTTAAAAAAAATGCATGTACTTTACCAGCTTCATAGCTCCTTGTACTGGGGCCAAGTGCAGGACTCATAGAATTGCCAACAGTATGACAAAGGGTAAGTGAGGAAGTAATTTAAAATCTTCAAGGCAATAGCCAACTACTTAGGTCTGGAAGTGCAATGAGCCACAGCTGACCTCCAGGAGCTTAGCTGGAGCTAGCCATGAAGAAGGGAAGCAGACTCAGGAATCTCCAGCTGTAGGTACACAGCAGCCTCAGGAGGAATGATAAACTGCTGTTTTACTGTGCACTGGGCACCACGACACAGGAAGAAGTCAGAGCAGAGTGCAGTCATGCTGTGGAGAGCATGTACTCTGTCCTCAGCAGGGGAAGCCTGTAGTTTTTCTGTGCTATAATTAGTCACTGCCAATGAATACACATTGCGTCACTGGAATTAGGCTGTGCTGTGCTCACCTTTGCCTTCCAAAATTAAGGAAATATCTATCACTGCCAGCTATTACGCCAAGGGAGTAAAGTACTTGGAACAAATACACTCTTAGCTGTCCAGTCAAGGGTATACGGTCTGCACTGATAGCAAAGATCAACGCAGTTTAAAAGGGTACAGCGCCACCAAGAACAAATTGGAGCATAGCACTTCTTTGCCTTAAGATTCCAATGATAAAACAGTAAGTTGTGTTTTTTGATAGCAGTATTACTTCACATCTGCTCGTTGAGCAGCCTGAGCTTCACATATGCTTTGTCCTCTGTAGGTCCTTCAGTGCAGAGGAGGATGTGTCTGTTTTTCATCACTGCAGCTTCCTCCCAGGGGACAGTCTGCGGATTTTGTAGCCTGGTTTATTGAAACAAGCCAGCCAGAACCTGCCACAAATTGGTAAGGTATCTGGTCTGTTGGGAGCATATTAGTGAATCCTAATGATGCTTGTTCTGATTTGAATAAAATTTGTGAATTAGCAACTCCCTGGAAGCCAATAGAGTTCCAAACCTGCAGAAGTCTTTATGTGACCAGAGATCAGTCTGGATCATGTGAGCAGTTACCTGTCCAATCAACTAAATAATGAGGATGGAAAGACTGGATCCACGTTTAGAACTCACTGCAATATTATATTTACTGTGCACTTTCCTGTGCATCATCAGTGTTACTTGATTGATGCTCCCTACAACAGTGTCACGCCATGCAACATCAGTTACTTCCCATGCTCGACATAAAGGCAGTAGGAACTAGTAGCCCAGCACAACCATTTGGATATTCATAGTTTCATCTTGTGTTATTTTTGCAAATATTCTAGTGACTGTAGACCAATGCTAACCGTTGCATAAAAAGACAGTCCAAGCTTGGAGAAAACTAACAGTGTAAAAAGAGAGTAACTGTATTTGCTTTAGGAACATCAACACTGAAGACGCCTGCTCATTCCTGGGCTGGAATTTTCTTCAACTTTGTCTCATACCCCAACTCATAACTTATGGGCAGCACTTCCCCAAGATATTCCCAGCAGTAGTAGTCAGAAGTAGAAGTTAAATTGTTATGCCCATGGCTGTGAGATCAAAGAATGGTTATTTCTTAGGAACAACTAGATGTAGGCTCTACTGCTCTGTTTGCTCTTGCACAAAGATGCTGTGTTGGAATTTGAACCAATTCTTAGAAATCTTGCTAATTTTCTTCCATTCTTTTCACCAGTTAATGCACTACAACCTGTGGCAATAAGAAGCATTGTGTCACAAGGAATTTTAAAATGCAGCAATAATACATGCTACAGTTGGACACTACAGCTACATAGGCAGTTACGATAGCATCTGCTTTCAAAACATAATTGTTACATTGTAAAATTCTTAGACATTAGATAGATGATAAAATTATTTAGCAGTAATTTCACAGTGTGGTAATCATGCTATCACAATATTAGCCTGCTGATTCTTGCTAAATGTGATTTATTTTCCTAACCCATTTTTCTCTCAAACACAGTGCACACCAGAGAGTAGTAGGTACTTTCAATAAATGCCAGCAGCAGCCACTTAAAGTGCCAGCTCTGAGCGTCAAGTGAAAGCGTGACATTGGCAGCTTTCTTCTAACAGCAATTAAGCTCTGGATGTAAAAATAAGAAATGAAAACCCAAATGAAAACCCTGCCTGCAAAGCAATTACAACTCGCTTGCAATGTTCATCAACATAAAGTGGGCAAGTAATCTCCTATAGATGGTCTTACAGACTATGTTGTTGTTTTGTTTTTTTTTAAAGCCAAATTCCTTATGTTTTTAGACTCAAATACTTAATACCTGGGTGCGGATAATGCTGCATACTGATGGACTACATGAAATGAATCACAGTTCCTAGGGCCCTCCTGGACTGTACTGATTTTTCAACTTTTCAGGAAGCAGAAGAGTAAGAGATCTTCATGTTCATCAGGAACAGCAAACAGTCAAACCCCACTGTGAAATAATTCAAACACAAAGGGAGGTATCTAGCTTCTCTAGATAGAGACATGCATTTGCATGACACTCAACTCAATGGTGACAGACTACTTTCAGTTGACAACAGTAGTTTTGCCTGCTGCACAAATTATTCCAGGCATTCAGTATTGATAATGGCAATGCCAATTCTAAGAAAAATAAAACATAAATATCATCTATAAGTGTTCTTTTCCTTTGCAAATCCTAATGTGTTCTAGACAGAGCTGTAAGTATTAATTCATTTTACAGCTGAATTAAAGGCACAGGGACATTAAACAATTTATGAAGCATAACAGGAGGAACACAAGCTGCTTCTTTTCACCCATGTCCAGTTGATTGGCCCAACTTTTGGATGCTGAAGGCAACTGTTACTTCTGCTGTGAGCTGAACTAACGCAGCTTTTAGTAACATTATACTTAGTAGAATAAACTCTACCAAACTCAATTTGCATCTCTATCATTAACTTTTCTACTATTCTCCTCAAAGCACATATAGTAGCAAGTTAACTGGGCTGGTTCTCTAATGAGCTGTATTTTGGTAATTCTCTGTAAAAGACCTGAGCTAGCATTAACTATGTAGGTCTCTTCATGTGGGCTTCATACTGCTTCCTATCCGCAATGTGCTTACTGGCTGAAAAATCCTGGTGGTGGAGGATTCCTAGTGCTGAAAGCAATAATCATATTCCAGTATTGGTGACTGTTCAAGTATCTATGTTGGGCTTTTTGTGCTGTTATTTTTATTACAGCTGCTCCTATATACCCTATCCAGTAATGGAGTTTCAGTGGCCAAGTTCAGTACAAAAAGTACAGGAAGAGCCAATCTCTACTTTTAAAAGTTCACAAAGCATAGCTACATATGCAAGTGAGGTCTTCCAGATACTCAGCAGCACTGAGACTTGAGGCATAAGGAAACATGCACTAGCCAACATGTGTTGAAAAGGATATTGTAATACCCTAAAGCAGCTGTGGAGTACAAATGTCCCTGTAGGGAATTCTATTTCTGTAACAGAAAGAAGATGTACGATGTCACGCCTGCCTGGTGAACCCATGTTAACTGATCATCTTAAGTTCTAGCCCTGTAACGTAGTCCCTAAAGATGGCAACTATGTAAAATGTTGTTCTTTTCTGCAGGAGAAGCCTCAGCTTCCATGTTTCCATCTAAGTCAAAAAAGAAGTCTGTGGTCAAGTTAAAGAGTGAACACAGACCTCCTGAGCTCCAGTTCAACCTGGATGTCCGAAGATCACCCTTTAGTTAGTAGCCTTCACTTTCTTTATAATTTTTCCATAATTTCTAACTTTACCCCTTCAAATACCAAAACTACTCACGACTCCCATTGACAGATACCTCTGCAGGCAGGCAAGATGTGTGAGCAGTTCCTCTCTGTGACATGTGCAGAGTTTGACAGCGTGCTGAAAGGAGCACGCCAGATCCAAAGGTGGCACAAAAGGTGTTCTGGAGCTTCAGTGAAAGCTCAGCTGTGCTTCCAGTATCACAGCCAGCATCCAGAGCAGGAAAAAGGATAGAGGGAAGTACAGAGGCTCTCAGATTCAGTATGAAGTTGTGTGATTCAGAGCTGGAGGATTTATCTTATGTTTCTTTAGATTATACATTCTTCCCCCAGAGTTTCATAAACAAGGTTGCGTCATGACAGATGTCATTTGTAATCTCTGCAGAATAATCAAACATTTTGTTCTTTCATTATCTTGTCTAACAGCAGGCATTTGCCTACCTAAGAAGGAATCATCTTAGGACATCAGACATAGTCATTATGAGGCCAAACGTAGGTGAGACAGGGAAAGGAGATACTCTGAGATCAGAGACTATTCTTGTTAGCTAGCGAAGGTGATTCATCAGGAAATGTTTGTATAGGGTCACAGATAAGAAAGCAACATTTAGGCCAGAAGCACAAATAACTTGGATTTGTTTGTCTTAAGCTTGATTTCCAGTATTTTATTATTATTATTATTATTTTGCCTTAGTTCTTTCTGGTGTTTTTAACTATTGTTTCAGATTGCTCTGAATGGAACACTAATGCAAATGGTGAAAGAAAACCAGAACTACTGAGTAGATTCAGCTGTATCAGCCTCACTGATTCAAGAACCCTTCACCGAGCCCTATCCCAGTGCCAGGTTCTGGGGTGGCAGGTTGAGAGCACAGATGGTCTGGGCAGCAGTGGCTTGGTTTCCATGCACTGAGGGTGATGGTTCAGTTGGAGGGCTTCCAGAATGAAGACACTCCCTCAGCTTTCCCGGAGCCACCGGGATCAGCACGCAGGGGGTTCCTGACCCACACGGTATGAGACTCGAGACGAGGGGCGCAGGACTGTCTGACCTGTACTCCCATCCTTCCGTTGGCTACAGAGGGACAAGGCGTTGTGCACAAGGACGGCTCTCCCGCACATCGCACAGACCTGTTCAGGTACAGCGTGCTCTGTGTAAGCCAGACCCAGCACTGGGCGAATGGGCCTCTCTTTGTAATATTAGCACCCTCAGCACTCACACTGTCCCACCTCAGAGGAGTTATGGTATCGTGTGAGAAACATCAGCCATATGAAGAAGATTTTTGTCTTTTACCTCGGTATTTCAGGAGCGTCGACGTGACATGCAGCGGTAACAAAGCAGGGCGACAGATCCATAAATCGCAAGGCAGATATTGTTAAAGCCAAATTCCTTCTCCTCTCTACCTTAGGTCTCCCACTGAGAGCCGCCGGACCGAGAGAGAACCATCCGCCGCCCCGCTTCCTCAGCCGCACCCATCCCGCCTCCCATCCCAATGGCCGCTGCCGCCCGCGCGCCCCCTGCTGTGGTGGGGACGGGCCCGGCCGTCGCGGTCTCTTCCCGTGGCGCATGCGCGGTGGGAGCAGGCTGAGGAAGCGGGCGGTGCTAACGGCCGTCGCGCGGTCCCTCCTCTCGCTCCTCCGCGGGGGTCGCCGCCATGGTGCTGGAGAGCTTGGCGCGCATCGTTAAGGTTCAGCTGCCCGCCTACCTCAAGCGCCTACCTTTGCCCGAGAGCGTCGGCGGCTTCCTCCGCCTCACAGGTAAGCGGAGGCCTGGCTCCGTTCCCTCCGTCCTCCCCGCGCCGGGGGCGGTGTGGGGGGCGCGGCGGGGCCGGGGGCCGTCCCGGGTGGTGGCTCTGTAGTGGGGCTGCCGAGGCCGAGCGGGCTGCGGGGGGGGGAATGGTCCGAGAACGTTGTACTGCCGTTACGTGGTTACAGAAGGAAAGGTGCCCGGCAAGGGCTAGGATGCGCTGTGAGGTAATGGTAGCAGCCAGGGGAAGCTGTAGGAAAAAGTAAAGTGTGTCGGGCCGAACCGCCCGCACGACGTGGCGCTGTCCCCGCCGGCACCAAACCTGCCTCTCCCTTCGCTTAGAAGGGTAAAGAAAGCGTCTGCACGCATCTAGCGAGCACAGCAGGAGAGAGTTCTTTCTGGGAGCCTGTTATGTAGTGTGCTGTGGTAATGGAGGCAGAGCCTGCGATAATGGGGTTGGTTTGGTGATAAGAAGCGAGGGGAATGCTCCAGCCTGCTGTCTGGGAGTAGAAAAGGTCCTCCAAGTGTGGAATCAACCCCACGTGTTCTTCCTGCAGCACTGAGCTGGGTGACTTCAGCAGTGCTGCAAAATGGTTTCACTGAAAGCCAGGCTTGGATACTCGTTGCAACTTGTTCATGCTCCTTGTAAATGTAAAGTTGTACTGCCTTCCTCGGGACAAGGAAACCTGCTCCTAATGAACTGTTCATCCATCTGCACAACTACTGCACAACTACTCTCTCATTTGGAAATGCCATCAATTAAAAAAAGAAACTCAGCTGTTCTGAACTTGGAGGAGATGGACATAGCAAGGTGCAGTACAGGGCAGCTTGTCATACCTTCAGCTTTTGTCAGTTTCCCACTTAACTCACTGCCTTTTTACCTCAAGCCTTAGTTATGATTTATTAAACATAATAATACCTGAGCTTAACCTCACCTTGTTTCACTTTTTCAGATGTTTTTGTAACAGGATTAATGTGCAGTCTCTGCGTTTGTTCACACTACACAGCAGTTACAGGATTTAATTTTAAAACCTCTGGTCAGAGCTTTTAATTTTTTTTCAATAGAATTAGCTTGCTGTCATATTTTTTTCCTCCACTCCTTCTCCACTCACTTCCTCCTCCACTGATAGGTGCTTGCTCAAATTTGGAGGGAGGGGAAGAAGCGAACAATCGACTCCTTAAGTGAGAAATATCACTGATCTTAAAACATCTAAGCATGTTAATATTTGTCCTTTGGTGGCATCTGCTGAGCTTAGTCAGGGACCTGCACCATAGGACACTTTGCTAGCATTCACTTTGTTCACAAAGGCAGGCCAGAACCCAAACTGGAAATAGTGCAGTGCTTTGCTTCTTAGTGCTTTTACTGATTCATTCTATAAACCTCTGTTAACTTCCAGCCTGATGCAGCTTCAGTTCCTCTCATGCATCAGTTTTAGAAACAACTGACCAAAAGTGCAGGGAAGAACCTTTCCTGTAGGATATTGCTGTAGCACACTGACTACAAACCTTGAGACACCTGTTGTGTGTCATGATCTCACCAGACCATAATGGAAAACTGCTTGCTTGGAGAGGGGAAGACTTAATATCCTGTGCAAAACTTCTGAAGGTAATAGCAGTGAGGGAGAAGGGAAAGAATCTGTGTGACCTTAGGCCTGAAAGCGGATATCTGAATTATCACACTGCTGCTTAGATGCCTCTTCCAGTTTCTTGTCATAGCTGCTTTGCCTTTCCCTTCTCAAGCTCGCCAAAATGAATTGAGTTTCTCATGGTGGCTTTGCCTTTTATTCTGCTACATTTCATTAAACTGGAATACTGATTGACTGCAGAATAATGTGCTAGCAGTGATAAAAGAGAATTTTAAGGTCTCTGAGAACCTACGTGCTAGTCTCCATGGTACAGCCCTGGGAGGGACATCTCACACTTGGGGTATGTTTTAAGAGGGACTTTGTAACAAACTACCAGGTATGAAGTGGACAGGGAATAGCCTCAAATTGTACCAGAGGAGGTTCAGGTTGGATGTTAGGAGAAATTTCTTCTCCAAAAGAGTGGCCAGGTGCTGGAATGGACTACCAGGGGGAGACCTCATTGCACTCTACAACTTCCTAAAGGGAGGTTGTGGTGAAGAGGGGTTTGGCCTCTTCTCCCAGGCAATGAACAGGACCTGGGGAAAGGGTCGCAAGTTGTACCAGAGGAGGTTTAGGTTGGATGTGAGGAAAAACTGTTTCTCTCAGAGTGTGGTCAGGCACTGGAATGGCTGCCCTGGGAGGTGGTGGAGTCGCTGTCCCTGGCAGCGTTGAAGAGGCATCTGGATGAGGAGCTGTGAGATATGGTTTAGTGCTTGTGGTAGCAGTGGGAATGAGAAGACGGTTGGACTAGATGATCTTATAGGTCGCTTCCAACCTTGTGATTCTATGATTACCCAGGGAGGTGATAGAGTCCTGTGATAGTGACCCTGGAAGCGTTCAGAAGATGCTTAGATGTGGTACTAAGAGATATGGCTTATGGGGAAATATTGGTGGTGGGTGGACAGTTGGACTGGATGATCTTGAAGGTCTGTTTCAACCTTGGCTACTTTATGATTCTAAGTCCTTTGTGTTTAATTGTATAGCAATCACAGAGTCCTTAGAGTTGGAAGGGACCTAGGTCATCTAGTCCAATTCTTCTGCAGTGAACAGGGACATGCACAGCTAGGTCAGGTTGCTCAGAACCTGGTCCAGCCTGGCCTTGAATGTCTTGAAAGGGCAGGGCTTCCACCACATCTCTGGGCAATCTGTTCCAGTTTGCGGGAGGCAAAGAGACAAAGCCAGACTCTTTTCAGCAGTGCGCAGCAATAGGACAAGGGGAAACGGCCATAAACTGAAGCATAGGAAGTTCTGCACAAATGTGCATAAGAACCTCTTCACAGTGAGGGTGACGGAGCACTGGAACAGGCTGCCCAGAGTGGTTGTGGAGTCTCCTGGATGGCTATTTGTGCAAATTGGTCAAGGGAGCCTGCTTTGCAGGGGGATTGGACTACATGGTCTCTAGAGGTCCCTTCCAGCCTGTACAATTCTGTGAAGGTTCTCCTGCTCCCCCACTCCTCTCAGCCCACAGGTGTGTGGTGTTTTGTTTTTTAATTTGTAACAGTATCTTTTCTCTCCTGCCCTAGAAGCATGGTCATTAGTGTGATACAAATGCTAATTAATAACTAATTAATAAAAAAAAATTAAAAAAAATTGTGCTTAAGAACCACTGCAAATTCAAGCATGGAAAGACTATGTTGAAAGTTGTTGCAGTACCATAATCATTTATACAGTTGTGGTGCATTCTCAGATAAGTGCCAGTAAACATGGATTTCACTCAAAAGGCTGTAGGAAGCTCAGAGAGCACAAGACTATTCCCACAAAGTATTTTCATTACATGGTGTACTTTCAGAACCTTCAGACTGTTAAGAGAGAGCCACTGCATTAAAACTGGAAGGGTGTTATCATGAGCATTTGCTTTATTGCTGTTCTGTGAGGCTTAATTTTATTCCTAATATGATTTGAGAGCTCACAGTCTACCTAGCATCTCCAGCTTTGTTCTATTGCATTTCCTTTCTTGTGCACCTTAATCTTGGAAAAACAAAGTGTACAACAATTTTTTTGTTACATTCTGATTCTAAATCATTTAAAAGGGGATCCTGATTACAGTATTTTCTTTTACAGAGTGCTCATGCAGCTATCTGTGCTCCAATGTAAAATATTTTTTTTAACATCCTTCCATTACTTTGACTCTTCAGAAACTGAGAATGTTCTCTTTAATGCTGCATGCATACTTAAACTGCACTGGAGTATTGTCACAGCTCGCTGCTTTGGAAAAGTTTATCCCCCTTTAAAACAGATCTTCTGGCAGGTGCTGATGCTTTCTTTCCAAGTTCAGTAAATCTTTTTCAAACTCGTATGTCTAGATTTCTAATGATGTAGCAAGGCTGCTATGTCTGCAGGGGATACTTGAATCTCCTACGTGTATTTAGAAGTTTCTGAGCATGGTAAAAAGCATTCTCTGTGGCTTGACTTATCTGAAGGTACTTAGCCCATCTCTGGACTTTTTCTTTCTGTATTTGCATTGGAGAAACTGGTTGCAGATTCCTGAGAGCTCTGAAAAATAAAGCACCAAAAAACTGGTGAAGACTAACTAGTGCTTATTTTGTAATCTGTGTCGTATCTGCCAAAAGTTTCTAAACAAAACTCGGAATAAAGCAAGGAAAACTTCAAGAAGGTAAAAATCTGAAATAAGCAATAAAAAATTGAATTATAAAACATGGATGGCTCTTCATATATAGAATGTAAGATAGCAGCATTACATTTTTTAGTAACTTCCCACGGGTAGTCATGCCCAGGCTGCTCGTTCATGCTGGTTGTGACTTCAGGTGAGCAGAACTGCAGCAATTTTGGAGTTCCTTATTTTAGTACCTCTTTTACTTGTTTTGAATTTATTTGCTTCCACTGAGTCATTCTGTAGAGTTTTAAAACTGAACTTGAGATGAAATTCCACGAGTCCAGTTTGTACCTCGCCTACAATAAAATCCAGAGTTTTAACCTGAAGCTTTTATTTTTGACTCCCTTGGCTCTCACCTGCCTTCAGCTCTGCTAACTCTGCAGTCCTGCTCCCTACCTGATGTCTACACCACTTCAGAATAGCTGGTGCTGCCCAAGACTGAAGTGGTGCCAAGAGCCTGTTTAAATTCCACTTGTCTTTAGTTTCAGAATGGCTGCGGTTATTGCCTTTCCTGGGTGTGCTGGCGTTGCTTGGGTACCTTGCCGTTCGTCCATTCCTTCCCAAGAAGAAACAGCAGAAAGATAGCTTGATTAACCTCAAGATCCAGAAGGAAAATCCAAAAGTAGTGAATGAAATAAACATCGAAGATCTGTGCCTCACTAAAGCTTACTGCAGGTGTTGGCGTTCTAAGACGGTAAGATACCCTGTTGCTGCGTCAGGATGAGAAGCTTAAATTTGCAGTATTTTTATCAGTTTTGAGGTGGTGGATGGCAGCAAGTTGGCCTGTTGCTTTTCTCTAAGGGTGGGACAGGCTTCTGAGAATTGCGTAGTTCTTTCTTTTCTCTACCATAAACTCACCTACATGCAGAGAGAAACTGTTCAATCTTGTAAAGTAGCACAGTATGGTTTTCCTAGAAAACTTACCAAGTGACCATCTGTGAAAAGCATCATTAAAGCAGGCCTTAAGATTTGAAAATAGAAGAATGTATGATGCCAAAACAGTATTTAGAAAACTTTACATATTAGAATGAAAATGGGACCTGTGTTTAGACAGAGCATATCCCCAGAACAACTAATTGATGACTGCTTTCAATAGTCCATGTCCTGAGTCAAAGAAAGGTAGATGGGTATTTCTCATCTAGTTTCTTACGATTCTGACATCACTCTGGTTTTAGCTTCTTTGGACTGAATGGTTTCCTGCTTTAACAAAAAATTGTGCCCTCAACCTAAGGGAAGTCTCTGAAATTCTCTCCCTTCAGAAAGATCATTTCAGCAAAGGGAGGATGGGGGGGAGGAGGCAGGTTTTTTTTTCTTTTTTTCTAGCTAGTAACATGTCAGAGGTCTGATAGGGGAAGGGAGTTTGTTGAAATGGGACACAGTTGGAGGAACTACCAGCTTTGATAAAGTATTCTCAGCAAAGGAAGGACTGTGAAAATCACTGTGTAATTGCTGTGCAGAGATGTACTAACCTCTTGTTTGTTTTCTTCCAGTTCCCTGTCTGTGATGGCTCTCATAACAAGCACAATGAATTAACAGGAGATAATGTAGGACCACTGATACTCAAGAAGAAAGAAGTATAGCAAATTCTTAATCCATTTGCTCATGACTGATGAGTCTTTTATACCACTGTAGTTGCAAGGAGCAGCATTTTATTATTATATGATTGGTATGATTTAGTCCAGTGATTGCTGTAGATTTTTTTTTGAGATAAAGTACATTTAGACAGTGCTAGATCTGTCACTGTTTTGATACTTTATTCTAAGAATTATTATGTCTGCTTTGTAAAGTAACTATTTCTGTAAATAAGTCATTTGTTTCAACAATAAAATGACTTCCTGGAGTTGAGCCTTTTTTGTATGAACATGCAGTAACAAAAAAGTCACTATTTCTAGGTAAGCAGGTCAACCAGTAAAGTTGCCCCTTTATTCTGGGCCCATTCGTCGTTCATGTGCATGTAAGGAAGCTCTTTGAAAGTTCACTTGCACTGCAGAGGCTATTTCTTTTAGCTGGGACAGTCATAGGAGGGAGTTGGCTAAATGACAGAACCGAGAAAGTGAAGTAAAACTGTGTTCTTGGCTTGTTACTGACTCATTAGTAAGACAAGTCAGAACTGTGCTGTGGGATGGCTTAACTTCAGTTATAGGTAAATAATTGCTACTTATTCAGCTGTTAGACTCCACACTAATTCTTCTAACGTGCTTTATTCTTTAATGAAAGGCTGCTTGTTTAAAAGTAGAACTTTAGATGCATGCCCCAATTTTAGACAATTGTCTGAAGGGAAGATCTGGACTATTCTTTAACAAGCATTTCATTTGACCTGTTCTTAGGTAAGAGGGGAAGCCCCACAGCAGCACACTGTTGCCAAAGCTTATCATCCCAGTGCTGAAACAGAAAGTGAGTCAGGAGGGAGTTCTCACACAGTGGCTGTCAAAGCAGCAGTGGAACTAATAGAGACAGTCCCTGCATTTTTAACAGGTGTAGTTCTAGGTGCTAAAAGCTCTTACCACACAAGAAACTGTGGTAGATTAGGATGTGACTGTGGGTTAAATGACTGCTTTTTACAAAGTGTACTGAAACCACAGTACAATCTATCTTTATTTAAATGTTTCATGGAAACCTTATCCTGATGGGTGAAAGCAGCCTGTAAACACTATTGTATTAGGATCCAACACTTAGAGAAAGAACAGTAATGTAAATATCTTGTACTATGCTGTTTTCACTCTTAGATGCATATACTGAATGCTAAGTTCAATTCTTGGGTTTGGTGGAAAAAGTGCTAGGTGAAATAGAAAAACTCACAGCCATTACAGCAATTATTCTATACAAGTCTTGATGTACTTCCAGCTTCTATCAGGATACTCTCACATTCAGATAATTTCATTGCTTTCTGTGTACAGCAATCCTCTTTTCTGTTGTTCCACTTAGACAAATGCTGCTGAGGTAAGTGGTACAGCAGAAGTGAATTTTCTCCCAGAAATCTTTAAAAAAATGACAATGTGATGTTTAGCCTCTTGCCTCCACCTCTCGCACAATTTGATTATGTAATTGTTTTTCCCCTGCTTTCTGTTGGATGAAACTATTGCTAAACTACCTGCAACTCTGGCTACAGAAACACATGGTGTGTGGTTTGGTTTTGCTTATGTCTCTATGGCAGTGGAACCTACATGAGGTATAGTTTAGCAACAACACTGTGTCACAGTTCCTTTTTAGAAAGGACATCTTACTTATTTCTACAGGATCGTCATCTATCTTGCTTACAATCTTTTTTACTATTTCCCTGCATTTCAAAATGAATCTGTGAAGGGAAAACTGCCTCATGTGGCCACACTTAAAGTCAAGGTGAATCCCATCTTCATGGTGGTTTTGGAGCAGGCCTTAGTCGGGTGCAGCAAAGAGCCCTAACAAGGGGATTGCGCATTCCTATAGGGTAATTTTCATACTCTTGGCATTAAAAATCCCTTCTTTTACTGCAATTGCTGCCTGTAAAAGTACAGCTATAAAACTGAAGTAAACAAAAGCTGAACAACACTGGCTGTAGTGCTTTGGCTGTAGGAATTTCAAACCAAGAATTGTTCTGCTTTTGTTTATCAAAGTAAGAGTTTAGTTTCAGTCTACCTGCCAGGTAGAAACAGCTGTGTAATGGATTCACGTCGTGTCAGTCTGAGAAGGGCAGCAAAATGCATCCCAAGATGAAGGAGGATACCAGAGCCTTTATCATCCTCTCTGATTTCAAGAATCCATGGAAGTTAGGTGTCTGTACCTGCACTCACCAAGTAAATGAAATTTTCTGGGACTGCTGAGTTCACAGCACTGAATAGGATTGGCTTATCTGAGCCTGTGCTGTTTGCAATTTGGATTCTTCATCTGCAAGCCAAATGCAAGAAGTTTTGCTCTTAATTTAATGTGATGTCCTTTGGAAGATAGATGCAAAAAATAAAAAAAAAAAATTGCTGAATCCGTTCACAGCTTGTGCTCTAAATGCAAGTCTTTGCAGCAAAAAGAAAAAACAGCCTCACAACTTACTTACCTGTTCAGATTCTCTCTCTAAAGTCTGTGAGCTAAGGATGGAAATGTCTGTGAAGCCCTCTGTCTCAGCAATGATAGAGTTGAACGCATTACCTACTAAGGTGTGCTGGGCTCTCTTGGCACTGGGTGACTTTTCTACCCTTAGTTGGAAGCCCCACACAAGAGGATAATAGCATGATAAATACCAGGACACAGGTGGTAGACCAGACCAGATCTTCACTTGTCTTGATGCAAAGTCGGGGAAAGCACAACAGGGCATGTCATACCATGATGCCTTACTCTACTAGAACAATAGTAATGACCTCTCTTTCCACTATGAATTTGAACAATCACTGTAATAAACTACAAATAAACCTGCAAAACAAATATACTTAGATAAAGATGACTTATTTGTGTCAACTATTAGACAAAGCAAATGCGATTCAAGCACCATCTGGCCCAAAATTTCACTTCTTGGACTCCATTTAAAATGCAAAAACTATCATTTACCGTTTTGTGGCCATACTACAGCCTGAGCATTTCACAATTAATTCTAGACGTCATCTGAATTCTCCAGAATGTTCAGTTTAGCTGAAAAAGGAAGAGAGTGATTATAATTACATTGTTATTTCATCCCTGGCTCATGCTACTTCCTGCTTCCAGATGGCCCCTTTCTGTCTTTACTCGTATGCTGCCTGCTCTAACTCTGCCTGCTGTGTGCCAGCAGGGCTGTGCTGTGCTGTCAGACTGTTCTGCTGCTGAGGCTCTTCTGAACCTTCTGGAACTGCACATGCATGCAGTGCTCAGTATTCTCCACCTTGCACTTGTGCGTATGTCTGCATGACAGTGGGACTCCCCCACTTACAGTTACTGCATGTTGCTCACTAATTTCAGTTCCTCCAAAAAAGAGACTGTTTGGAATGGCATAAAGATTTTATTAGCTTGAATTTATGCATTATTCATGAATGATTTCATGGCATTTTGTTCAAAGGGAGGGGGCCCTAGTCGTCATGACTTCACCTCTGCAAACTCTTTCAATTAACTCCTATTTAAAAGCAGCTGAAATTGTCATTTATTGTACTTATTGACAATATCTCAGCCCTGATATAACATCTCTTCTCATGACAAGATGTGTTTTGTTTCTTTCTAGAAAGCAAGGAGCATTATAAAGCATCAATGCTTCTCATTTTAGATCTGCAGGACTGTAACAGCTTCAATGCGATTCTTATTCACAACTTAATAAAGGCTCAGAGAAAGGGGCCCTGTGACAAATACACTCAGTGGTGAGGAAAGGAAAATTGAATTTGATTTGTGAGACAAAACTACAGTTGAATCAGTGCAGCTATTCGGGGTCTAGAATGATGGGAGGAGTGATCCTGATAACTAAACTGAGAGGGAACTAAGATTAAGGGAACACGATAGAGTCAATTTATGAGATGGCAAACAAGGCTGTCACAATCATAAGATTGTGTTCAAATTTGAAGGGCTATAATGCTTACACTGTCACTGAACACATTCCAAATGTGGTGCAGTGATCGCTCCTTGAAGGAGAGTTTTTATTTTCTATAAAACTTTGTAAATAAACCAAACTATACACAGCTTCTCCTCTACATTTTAATCACATGAAGTGTATTATTTTATAAGCAGCCACTGATGAACTGAACAGCATATTCCTTCACTCTACCCATTAGGTCTGCACATACTGCACTTTCCAAATGCAATAAGCTCCTTATAAAACTATCCTCTTTTATGCAACTGAGTACCTCAGTGAGCCATGCACAACAGGCAGGAGGGACACAGAAGTCAGCGCTTGACACAGTAACCATCTCATGCAGCACTGGAACTGTTCATCAGTCTGTACAGTTTGAGAGCTCCTTCTTCTCTTGTCAGGGAACAAGCATTAACTGAAGACTGTATGTTCCCTAAAAGTGGAGAGAACAGCAGCACATATGGTAAGGAAGCCTGGACAAAATGAAATAATAATCGTACTTCACAGCTGTCAGGGGAAAACTTACCCAAGAACTTCCTGGTGTTCATCACTGTCCTGGAACTGCAGGCCACAAACCTTAAATATTTTTAAGAACTTTGCTTTTTGGCTAGAACCAGTCATATGAAAAGGTACACATACTGATTATTATGTATATACAGAGACATAACACACGCACTCCGAATAATACAGGTACATACAGTTTTCCTTGAAAGGTATTTTCTTATTATGTTGCATAATAAAATACAGGAGCTAAAACAGAATTGTATAATGCTTACTTACAGAAACCAAAATATATGGACACATCAAATACATTCTGAATAGTGTTCTGTAAAACAATCTCAAATGAACTGTACTGTAGAACTCTGTGGGCAGCCACTGTCCTCTTAGATCTCAAATCTGTGTTTCTAAACATAACTAAACAAAACTCAGTTCCTGAAGGATGCTGGACTCATTTCATGATTCAGAAAGCAGTGAATGTCCTACTTAGAGCTTGTTACTCACCCAAAATGTAGCAGAGCAAGAGAGATTAAACAATCTCTGTAACCGGCAATGCTAAACCCTAACTGGTACGAAAGCTGAAGACAAGAGCAGGGTTTTCTTCAACGGTTTGTTCTTGACTTTTGGAAAGTCAAGGAGAAGAGAAAGGTAACAGGTTATATGAGAAGATCAAATATGAACTATACTGTACTGACTGTGCAGAAGGCATCAATACTAAACAAAGAAAAACCCTCCAAAAACGTTTGAACTTTTTGCTCCTGTGGTAAAATATTTTGGCAAGAGATCCAGTATGCAACTTGTGCTTCTAGAAAGGCCCACACAAGTGGTGGGTTCATGCTCACTGCTTTCTCATGACAGCATGTCACTCTTTCTGGAGGAAGGTGTGGTGGGGCTCCTTTCCCTTTGTAACATGCCTCTCAGTGATGCTTTCCCCAGGCTCTTCATTTAAATTCTATTTCTCTATTGATCAGAGTAAAAAGACCTTGCCAAACCTAAGAGGCCTCCAATCTCCAAAACAAACACAACCATTTACCCTTTGGAAAAACGAGTATTAACTTGATAGGTTTTAGTAAATACTTGTTTTATTTTGCCACAGTTAAGCAAATGCAGATGTGTGAAGGATCAGATCATAGCATTTTCATAGACACGAGTATAAACTTAGAACAAGAGATACCTGTTGATTCATAAATCCTGATTTGAGGTCTGTCACTACTGTCAGGTTTCCCAAAAGGAGCTGAGGAAGAAAGAAACAACTCGTTGCTACCTCGGCATTGCCATGCCAGCAAGCTCCATCCAAGGGGAGTTCTCTCCTGTCCTAGAGTACACACTCCCAGCGGCTGACAAGCTGGCTTTCATTGGCTTGACACAGAGTTGCACAAAGGCTGAAGTACACACGCCAGGAAGCAGCCATCCCAATCCCATGTAACTTCCTCCCAGTCCTTACGGCCTCTTTCATCTTATTTTCAAGCTTGGTTCTTTTCACCGGGTACTCCTTTATTACCACAGCCTCACTGGAACTGTCTCTTTCAGCACATAAGCACTGCTTGCTGCTTCTTGCCATGACCAGAACCGACAGTCCCTTGAAGGTACAAAGGAACGTGTGAAAGAACAGCAATGGAAAAAGGCAGGTTTTCAAAACTGAATGAGGAAGGAGAGGGAACCATCTCCCTCTGTGAGATCTGTGGCAGGATTTGTTCACTGTGTGTCAACAGTCCTAATTCAGTTGTTGCATTCTTTGAGCCGCTGAACTTGTCATCTTACAGTCCAGTTTTAACCATCAAGAAGCTATCACATCCGTCTCCATTTTCTTTTGTTCATCCACCTACTGATCCACTCCATAACTGAACAATTCTCATCCTCTCCCTGGCCTCACACCCACACGTTTTTAGTAATTGATGATTGCTAACTTTGGAGTGACTCACTGCCTGGTCAGCCTATTTGCTGTATATTTACCTAGTTCATCTCTTAAGGCACCACCAATACAAAAAAATATTTTGTAAAACTCCACCAGACCTGCTTTTAAAATAGTAGTACATCCGACACTTGTTTCGGTTTTGTCCAGAAAGATTACAGACACAAAATGTTTACTTAACAGAAGTGTAAGAGCTGAAGGACCACATTCCCATAAACGCCTGTCTTACGAAGGCTCACAGTCCTCTGGCTCTTCTCCAGCCACAGCACCTTCCTCATTTTCGTCGTGTTTTGTCTGAGACTTCTGCAAAAGTCTGGGCCCTGCCAAACCAATAACTAAGGCTCCAATGGGAGCAGTGATTAAGATAGCCAAGAAAGCTACTGTTAGTACATCCATTCCATACTTTTCCAGTTGCTCATCCTGATGACTTCTTGCTGTATCCAGGGCAAGGGAACCTATTGCAGCCTATAGGAGAGAAAGGATTGCTGAAATGTAGGAAGGAATCTTCCTCAGTGAAACAGGAAAAAAAAGGGACTAATCATCAGTCTATGCTTAACATAAATTCAAAATGTGTAATTTATTCAAGCTCCTTAGTTTCTAGGCAGTATACAAAAAAGTAAGGGTTCTATCAGCCCTATATGAACAATTTCCACTTGGCTATCTGAATTTCCTAGGCAAGTGAGTCAATCTGAGTGGCTCCCTCTGGTGAGGAGTGTGGCGGAGTGTGGCTTAGCTGACATGTTATCCATTTCCAGAGAACGTGTAATTAATGAAATAGGCCAGCACACTGCATATTGGAGCTGTTAAAATCCCATACCTTGAGAATGTGTCCTGACAGCAGTCAATGCATAGCAGCTTTGCAAAGATTAGTTCACAATTCTTGCAGTAATCTCTGCCTGTTCCTATTATTAACTTCTGCTTACAAACTACCATGCTTTTGAGGCAAAGTCCAGGTGATGTAACAATCACTGAGCAAGAATGCAACCAGCCTGAGGCTTCTCTAGCAATAAGCCTGTCAGGCCAGCCGTTATTAGAACAACCATGAAATAAAAACCCATTCTGAGCCTCAAGTGCAACTGTGTCGGTGAACACTTTATGTGGTATTAGAGAGAAACACTTTCAGACTTCAAGAGTTCTCAAAATCTGGATGTAAAAGACACAATAATCTGCAGAAACTGATAAATAGTTATTCTGTGATTAAGTATTTACATGTACATTCACCATTATTATTGGGAGTATGACCCAGGATGCAAGCTAAAAACCCTCCCATGGCAGGTCCCCCATGGCCTTTTCAAGCAGACTTAAGACAGGGCAGTCCAGAATATGAACTGTCCACATATCACACTGCTGTTAACAGGGACCCAACCCTCTCCCTGTTTAAGGTGTGCTAGTGAAGAAGAGCTTTGCTAAAGACTATAGATCTAGCCTGGAATGAAAATGATGTTGGGCTGTTTTACCTGGACAGTGGCTTTGGGAATCCACGCCAGTGAGACAAATACTTTCTCCTTGAAATTAAACCCAGCAAAACACACCATCAGGAACGTCGCAACGATTCGCACAACTAGGGCAATACCCAGTGTAGCTACACAGAGCCCTGAAACAAAGACAAGTGCTTCTCACTATTTTTGTGCATAGGTGCCTGAGGGAAAAAAGCCTTCTAAAGTCACAGCTTTACAGTGATTCCAGTATGTTGGTTTTTTGTCAGCCATACTGCTTTACTTAAGATTTCTTTCTGGAGATTCTTTGGAAGCTAGAAATAAAATAACTAGTGACAGATCTTACCAACAGTTTCAGGCCTGAGAGATGTAACAGATACTTCGGCTCCGATCAAACCAAAAAGAAAAGGTTGAAAGATATTCCAAGCAATGGCAACAATTTTTTCTACTTCCCTCTGCAATAGTAATAATAATTAAAAAAAAATCCATCAATTCATACACATACACAAAACAACCCAAACAGCAGCAACCAAAGCAGACACATTTAATTAATCAAACGACAAAATGAAAATTTATCATAAATACATTCCAGAATTGTTTTTTAGACTCCTAGTTTATGGTGAACTTTGATCTAATACTAAAGCAATCTGTAGCCTAGAGAATGAAAATAAAACACAATTGATTTTCACAGTTTAGGAAGATGCAATTTCAAAAGTTTTGCAATGAAACTGATTAGCTTTTGGGAATTGCACGCTCAGAGTTGTTCCATTTGTACTTGAGCAGAGTCAGACTCTGAAAAGTTTCAGTAATGTCTACTTGCACCACACTCAGGTAGAAACCAATTTCCACATGAGCAGGAGCTAGATTGGGTAAGCCTGAAATCTCTTATTAATGAAAAATGCTGAATGTCTCTGTGTGATTACTGTATGACTGCAAAACCATCTTCTCTCTTTGTGCTTGAAGTTTACACCTAGCACTTTTCCTAAAGCAACCTGCTGCCAAAGTAAACAGGAATCTTCCACTTAGTTGAAGAGGTATATGTAGCATCTCTAACACCACTTTTTAAAAGAAGTGGGTTCTGCAATAGCAATAGCAGATGAACATGCAGGCTGCAGTGTGTGAGGATGCATAGCCCAGGTGTGTACCGTCCCTCATGTTCTCTCTGGACTGACCATTCAACATGGCAGCACCTCTGGCTCTTCTATCAATGGAACAGTGAGATAACTGCAATACAAAACCTTACATAACCTTAAAGAGAATGAGGTGGAAACACACAGACCTGTAAACTTTTTTATTTGCCTCACTTCTCCCTGCTAACTTACTCTGCTTTCTTTTAAAAAAAATAATAAAATTCTTTCCAGATATTTACTTCTCATTTAACTACTTCAGCAACAGGTACAATGCCCTTGTTCTCTGCTGATGCTATTTGTTCACTTCCACCAGAGACAGCACCAGTGGCCTTTGTGAGGCTCAGCAGGAAAATGTTGGTAACACTGAGTATTCAGTAAGTAGATCTCTCTGGCTGCATCTGATAAAAAGAGCTAAGGTGTTTGAAATCATCATCAAGCAGCCTCTCCTACTGATCAAAAGAATTTAAACTAAGTAGGTAGTTACGGACTGCATACGCTTTTGTAAGGACTCTCCTTCAGAAGTGGCTTAAAAGCCTTCAACAGTGAGCTTTATGAGCTTTAAAGTTTTTAACTATTTCAAGTCTCAAGTTTCCCCTCTTTTAAAACTGGACAACAATGTAGTATTTTAAATAGAAACCATGGTTTCTTATTTGTTATTTTAACAGATGGAGAGATCGTACTGAGGTCAGGTTCTAGATGGGAATAATAACATATCCGGTCCTCTTTCCTTCCTCCTCCCTTCTATTACTGCATGCTGCAAGGCTACAGATATGAAAAGGAAAATCGCCCTCAAACATTAAGTGCAGATGGTATCAAGAAAAGGGGCAGTGAGACATACCAAGATACAGAAAATCAGCAGGGCAAAAATAGTAAGAAACAGGCTTCATAGCTAAAAGAAAGTGGCTTAGAGACAGTCTTTTGTATGGTTTCTGTACAGCTTTGTATCACCACTTAGTGTGGGCACCCTGCTCTCTGGTTATGCAGAATATACTTGCTACGATTTGGGGAAAGCAATAAAATGGTTAATTACTGCTTTCTATTTCACCCCCTAAAAATCACAGGGAACAAAAGCTCAGGATATTGAGGCCATGTTCAGAACTGTATTTGGACATCTGTAATTAAAACTTACCTTTAAATGACTGTGTAAGGTTACAGAGACTGTCACAGAGCTGGGACTAAGCTTTAGATTCCTCATCAAGTGCCATGACAACTAACCTTCCTTTACAGGGCTTAAAAGGTATTGTACTGATGTTTGAGAGAAGCTCATGAGCATTTTACTGTCAGTATAACGTTACTTCATCCACATACATGGTAACTTTCCATTACACTAAAGATTAGGAACAGTTCTACGTTTATTTTCATAATCTGTACTTCCCATGAATCTACATAAATGGGCCACTGCCACTCCTGGTGGAAATCCAAACTTCTGCTAAGCTGTGCAATCAAAGGAGTTCTGGTATGTTGTGCATAAACATTCACCTTTTCCTCGGACCATCCCACGCCAGCAATAAAAGCTAGGACTAATGTGCAGAGCCCTCCTGATCCAGGGAAGCCAAAATAGACACTGCCAAAAACAGCAAACATGGACAGTCCAAGCACAAAATATGATCTCTTCCATGACAGAGATGCCTGCAAGCAAGCAAAGAAAGAAACAAAAAAAAAGTAAATTTATGTCTGGAAACGGCGAATGTTTACATCTACTAATTTGAAGGGAACAGAGGGTACCATTGTGGAGGAATCAAAACTTTTGTTTGAGACTTGAACTATGCAGTTGAGTTAAGGAGTTCTTTGGGACACTAATTCCTAGCAAACTATAGTTCTGAAATGTCAATATTTCTTCTCCTCTGCCCATCCAAAATCTTACTGCCAAAACACTTTTTGCATAACAAGGAATATGATGCTCTATTCTAACCTTCCTGCTTCTGGGCTATGATAACAGGACCTCTACCATGAAGAGCCGGAGCTTGTCCAAGGAGGGGTTAGATCATTGCCACTAAGTGTTTTTAAGGACAAAGGCAGTTTCACAGCAGTTATATCTCTGTAAGTGTTTCCCATGTCTAGTTATCAGTTGATTTCTGTGCCGCATTTCCATGTTATTTAATAAGAAAATTTGGTGCCACTGATGGCAATAGCTGTTGTTCAAATTGATTTCAGTATCCAGACTATATGCTTTCTTCTACAATTTTGTTTGTGTAGTTACCCTTGATAGTAAATTCATCTACCACTTTATATAAGCTTAATTATTAATGAAAGCACCATTCTAATTAGTGTTGATAGTATCCCAAGTGTGTGATCTGCACATTTCTAAGATGTTTCCAGTAGGGTAAAGATTAAAAATGAGTGGAGGTAAATATGTTGCACATCAATTCAATCAATCATTATTCTACTCATACTACTCAATAGGCATCAGATCCTTTTCCCTTTCCACGTGAGCATTTCCAACACCTCTACCACTTGTGGGTACAGGATTGTGAACGGGGTTCCAGGCTCTCCATCAGGAAGGACTGTGAGATCATACACTGCTATTGTTGCAGTACACAAACAATCATCCTTAAAACACTTCCTTGCTTTGTAGGCTTTGCAATTTAGAAGCTGTTAGAGCTGTACACTGCTTTCTCACAAAAGGTGTCATACGAAGTTTGAAAATGAATCATATAAAAATGGCATTTATAAACAAAGAATATCTTACATAGCGCAATTTTAAACAAAAACTTTTTTTTTAACCTGATCATGGCTTGGGAAATACCGAACGAACACTCCCAGAATCCCACCAGCTGCTATGCCAACAGCAACCTCCAGCACTCCTTGGAGCACATTGTACAGAGTGGAACCTATTTGGCAAAAGAGAAGTGTGTTCAGTTACCCTAAAGCAGAACCTTCACTCACAAACCACACTGTATATCTATGAGAATGATTTCAGTATGGTCTCTGCTCTAAATTACAAAGGGGAAGGGCCTCAGGAGAGAACCCATGAGCCTGCAAGAACTGGAAAGTGCAACTTTTGTGCAACTCTTTGCTTATGCCAAGAAAGTGTGCCAAGGAAGTCAGGGAAAAAAAAAGCACTGCTAGAGCACTGTCAAACCCAGGGATACTTGAGACCATTTATACTGGGCACAAGGGAGCTGGACATGGCAGTTATGGAAAAAAAACAAAACTGTTTTCTGAAAGCTGTGATCCACACCTCAGAGTAAATGAAGTTACACCAACACTTTTGATCATGGGTAACTTCTCTGTCCATACTGAACTCCATATCTAAACTTCATGAGGAGCTGTCATTAAGATACAAACCAGTCAATCATAACAAAGCATACATTCCTCAAAACATCACAGTTTGTTCTGGTTGTCACCACCTACAGATTAACTCGCATACCAGAAGAGAAAGCCATCCCAAGGCAAGTGTTGAAGCCTGTAATAGCCAGAATGTCATCAATGCTTCCAGCTGCCATTAGCAAAGTTGGGACACCTTTCTCCACTCCATATCCCCCAGCTTGTAAGATCAGCATTGAGGGAACTACAACAGCAGGAGAGACTGCACCTAGAACAAAACTGAAAACACAGGGTTTCAGCCTCTCTTAAATAGCAAGCACTAAACTGAAAAGCTTCAAAACATTATGATCTCCCTTCTTCTAAATTTGAACTACACAGACCTGCACATAAAATATCCTTACCTCTCCTTCCTAATTACAAGCATGGATATTTCCCTGCAGATCCACAATCACCTCTTACTTCCTGTTCACCAAAATAATATTAAAAATCAAAGGCTCCACAGGCTAAGAATTGATTCTACACTGCAGGCCAGTTCTCTCTGATACATGCCTTGACTACCCGCTTTAGGAACCTGGTCTAGATGCTCATGAGTTGTGAGTTCCTACTCAAAATTCAGCGTGTGGCAGGAGAGAAGTTCATTTATCTCCTTCTAGTATACAGTCTGGAACTGAGTCCACCAGTTTAGATAGAAGCTAGATGGAAAAAGTTTCCTCTTCAAGGATATTACGCCACAGTGTAACATACCATGTCCTTATTTTCAACTTGTGGTAGGAAGACTGTTCTGTATAAATTTCTCAAAGCGGAAATTCTGCATTCCAGCACAAACTTGTGGTATCATTTTCTGTCCCTAAAAGCCCTCTGCCTTGTGGCTAAAGATCCAGGGATTGCACCATCTTTCTTCCTTCTGTAAGTGCCCAGATCACAGTCAGAGAAGAGCAAAGATACAAGTACTTCTCTACATCTGGAAATGTGACCTTTAAATTAGCTACAGAGCCAGACATGAATGGTAAGCAAACAGCCACAGGGGCTAGGAACAGCTTAAGGTGCCTGCTTGGCAGAGAACTAACTGCATGTGGATCATCTAGCTGTAACAAAAAAGTCATATAGGAGAAAAGATGGTACATTACCCTAATATAAATCCCCACTGCCATGGCAAATGCATGAGTAAATAGGCAAAAACAGCAGCTGTGCATGTTTCCGAGAGGCATGGTCCAAAAGAAAGCCGCAAGCAGACTGCTTTGAGCTTCCTAAGAGCCTACAACATAAAAGCAAATTCAGCCATTAGTACCAGTACCTCTGGCTTCATAGAGAGCAATAACTTTTATGACCTGACATCATTTATTAAAATAATTCCCTCTAAGTTGCAGTACAGGATATGACAGTTTTACATGGCTTATGCCAGAGATAGGCTCAAGCAGAAGTGGATTTGGATATAAAATTGCATGTGTGGCAGTGAAACCCAACAAATTTGTGTTAAATGAGGTTCCCACACACTTTGGCTTCTTGTGCAGAGCAAACAGCTCTAGAGTGGCTGAGGTAACTACAGTTCATTTGAAAAGTGCACTCTCACCGCAGCTATCTCACCCACAGTTGCTTGACGTAGTTTTCACTGTCCACAGAAGGTTTTGCTATCATCCCACAAGTTGCATAAGCAACCCAGAAATAATTCCAAAGTCTCAACAAATCAGAAAATTGTTACGTAGAGCTACATAAAGTTGGAGAAAGAAGCCATGCACTACTTTGAGCTGTTTCTCACTTGATATCCAGAGTAGATTAAATTCTACCTGCCTCTGCAACTTCTACCCAAAAACTTCACTAAAAGAGAGTATTTGCTTGTAAAAGTAGCTTTTATTAGTTTATCCTGAACATGATTCTGCCAGGACAAGTCCCTAATTTTGACATGGATAAAAACAAGTTGCAGTTTATCCCAGCATAATTAGGGCTAAGAATCACTAGAGCAACTGGCATCTGTCTTCACAGCTTCAGCTACACAAGGAACAGTTGTAAGCACATCAAAGCACTGCTACATATGGAGTCCAAATGACAGCTTCGATTGCCACATGGGAGACAAATGAGACAGAGATGAAGTTCCTCTGGCCAAAAAAAATGCAGAGTAGAAAGAAAAACATTCTCACCGAACTGGGCACAACACACAGGCTGTGCTAATACAAGTGTCAGTACAAGTGTCAATACCTTCATAAAAAGGACAAATAGTATACTTAGGAAAATCGCTTGTTCAAGAGTGACCAAACCTATTTTTCTAAAAATCTGAAAACTGGAAACACTGTAATTTTCATCTTGGGTAAGAAAATCAGATTTATTCACCTGAGCTAGCTATCCCTACACTAAATTTTATATAAGCTTTAAACAGTCATTTAGACAGGGGTAAGTATGGTACAGCTTTATTTCAGACAGTTGATTTTGATCAAGCAAACATCACAATAATTAATTGAGGGAATATGAAGTTTACCGTGCGTTGAAGAAAACTATTCTGTTCACAGAACTGTTATGGGCTTCACAGTGATGTGAAACACTGCTTCTGTAGTACAGGCAGAATCATCTTCAGGATTAACACATTTGCATAAAACGTACAATGATTATAGAAAGAGAAAATAGAATAGCAAAAAAGACAAAGAAGATTTTTGTTTGTCTGATTTGTGCCAGCACAAACAGCATGCTCCTTCTGGGATATGGATTCCATTCCTTACTTGTTTTAGTTCGTCACAGTAAACTGACAGGGATATTGCTAGGCAGTATAAACTCTTCCTGACAGACTATGATAGAACGCACGTCTCCATATGCCCTGCTCACAAAATTCAGGAAATTTCTTTAGGATATGGAGGATACATAGTCATAAGATCAGTTTTCTTCAGATACTTTTTTGACTGCTCATCAACACTACAGATCTACCTGACAACGTTGATTAACATGTGACTACACAGCAGGAACTGTGCTTTTTGTAATGCTCTGATTTTCAAATCTTCTAAGACCAAACAGTCCAATATTTTTTAACAGAATCAGTGTCATACTTTGCCTCACATAGTAGCTGGTGCCATACCTTTGGATCTAGACCAAGTCCTGCTCGGGTCAGGATAATTGAAAGAGCAATATTCCTCAGTGCGGCAGACCAGCGCAGATTTATCTGGACAATGTCACTAACAAACGGGGTATTTCGGATGAGAAAACCAGCAAGAAGCATCCCTTCAATGAAAGCAAACAAACCACAGTCAAATGATATATTTGACTGCAGTAGAAGTTTATCTTGAATTTTAAAAACCTGACACAATAGGATGTATTTCTAAGAGACAACAAAACAACTCCTGCTCTGTTATCATTAGCCTTGTTTTAAAGATGGGAATGTGAGAAGATTAAGATGTTTAAAGCAATGGAAGAGGTCTAGAACATACCAGGTCACCAATGAGCCAATCTGTGAGATGCTGAAACACAACTCAAACAAGAAATGACAGAATTCTACTTTGTTCACCAGCTGCAGGTCATGCTTACCATGAACAAAACCACCTCTGGACCTTTAAAGATATATTTTTTGTTAACTTTTTTTTTTTTTTTTTAATATGAAAAGAGGAGGGTAATCTAATATTAAGTATTCCTCTCATAAGTTGGAAATGGTTTTTAAAAAATCCTGTCAGAAGTGCAGGTATCACACGAACCATAATGCTGAGGTCACTGGAACATCTAATCTAAATCATCTAGTCATGGTCTAATTTGGACATCTTAAAATGCTCAGGCAATTCAACTTTTAAGCAAAGGAGAAAGCAGGGGAAATAACAGGAACTTGCACTTATCCTCTATTTGAGCTAACTGCAAGATCCAACCTTTTGCAAATATTAGCAAAGTAGATTAATCAGGGATTTTCTTCAAAGCTATCAGAACTAGAGATACAGAAAAGTACAGACATGGTAACTATAGTTCTGTAAAGACTCGTTGTAGGTCCCCATGATTCAAAGATACATTTTTTTGTGGTGTAATTTCATATTAACCATGTTAATAAACCAGAAACCAAAAAAGATGAAAAGTAAACACTGTGCTCAGGTTGGGCACAGCTTGGCGTGTTTGCCTGTAAGCCTTGGCTGCAGAGTTGGTTCATCCTGTAACACACTGCTCTGCCCACCCCTTCCCGGAAAAAAAAAATTAAAAAAAGAAGAAAAAAAGTGGCATAATTAGTCTGCAGTCCCTTGTGACATTTATGTTAATGATCATGTGGCTCTTTGCACTTTTTTTGTGCATGTGAGAAATCCATTGACTGGAACTACCCCGATCTAGAAGATTGCTTATCAGAGAAAAAATACACCACGTGGCTTAAAAGATACCCTCATCATTCTGCTCCATGTTGCCAGCAGAACCTCTAATGTGTATCTAAAATATAATACGTGACCATTTCTGCAGCCACATCCTTCCCCCTTCCTCACATAGAGGCTCACTATAAGGTGCACAGAGCTGAACGAGCCACAGTGCACCTAGCAGAAATGAATTCAAGAGTTCCTACACAAGAGTACGAGACTTACACTCTTAGTGTAAAGATTATTCAAAGACATAGTGTGTTTCTTCTTCTGTCTCTAGATTGCTCAGTTTTCCTCAAAGACCACGGATCTGAACAATTAACTCAAACCTAAGCAACTCACCACACATACACCATCATGCTTAAGTTTCACTCAGGCAAGCAGCTTCACGCTCAACTCAACTTTTAGATATGGATTGAATTGAAGAAAGCAGAACCCAAATGGTCAGATTTTGGAACTTGGTGATCCTTGAGGTCCCTTCCAACTCAAGCCATTCTATGATTCTATATGACTCTGATTTTTTTTAAGGTGTTTACTTATTAAGGGCCCTGCTTTTGTAAAGCCTGTATTACTGTGGGCAGCCATGCTACATGCAAAACTTCCCTCCCTCTTGTTTGAATCTGTTCTCACCTGTGGAACACAGCAGTACATGAATACGCACACTGCCCAAACAGTGCTGCAAACAAAGCCATCCAGCCCTTCTCCTGTCAGAGGGCCCACTGTGAGAGACTACAGTAACAGTTAATAATAGCAAGTTATTTATCACTTCAAGGCACTACAGGAGGCATTTGCAGCCTGCTCTGCCTTGAAGTTTTCTCTGCATCAACAGCTCGACTCATGTATAGGCTCAGCATAACAAAGGGACCACCTTTTTCAGCTACTTTGGCATCAAAGTACTTCATAATATCATACTAATGATAGCCAAAAAAAAACTAAGGGGAGGAGGAGCCTTAGGAACATATAGGTAGTTTCACCTGAGCTAGCCTGGGGGAGTTTTCTAACTTCTCCACAAGGACCACAAACAAGTCACATGAAAAAGTGGCAAATTTGGGCGTTATAAATGTGCACGTTCCTAATCCAACCATGCCCAATCTGCAGGTGTCCCCCGACTGTTAAAACACCACAACCACACAGGAAGAAAAGAAGGAAGGGCATCTTACCCAGAAGAGCAGGGAGGGGTGGCAGTGTTCCTATTTTAATGAGTCCAAAAATTTTACCTCCAATGACAGCAAAAAAATAAAGACACAAAATTCCAAACAGGTTTCCACCTGGGAGACATTCGGGCCCAGTGATGGACCAAACCACAGCCCAAACCAAGACCACAGCGGCAACTGGAACAGGACAAGAAATATTAATATCTAATCATTTCCAACAAATAGAGAACCAATTTCAATATTAGGTCACATTTCTTTTTCTGTTAAGGTACCATTAAATCGCAGAAATAAAAGTTCTGTACCTTAAAAATCATTATATTTTCGTATTATTAATTTTAATATATTAATATATTTAATATTATTTTTATATATTTATATTATATTATATTAATATATTTATACTTACATATTATATTAATATATAATATATATTTAATATATTTTTAATATAATTAATTATAATATTAATCGTAACACTGTTTAATATTTGACACTCCTTAAGCCTATTTCTGATTTCATAGACGCTGAGACACTTTAGAAAACAGTAACAGGAAAATCATTAGGGACCAAAAAAGACTGAGTAAACCAAAGGCCACTGTGGAAAGCATTTAACAGGTCCCAGGCTTTTAGCAAAGATTTTCACCAGTACTCATCTTGCATTTGTGCTATCTTCCTTCAGCTAAGTAAAAACTGCAGCAGGAACCTGCTGTGCCTGATACGTCTTTGAGCTAATGACTGCAGTTCTGTTTTCATTAACATATCATTTTTTTGCTAGATATGTTTGTGCATCCCTGGGAGACAAAAATCTGAACGTCATGTCTCTGGGCAGCCTAAGGTAGTATAAATTAACACAGAAAACAAAGAGGGAAAGCTCCTGAAAAGTATTACAAAAATATCTGAAAATATTATAAAATATGTGAAAATAGTACACTCTTTCCAGTTTCCCAAATCTGTTCCTACACTAACACAACAAGAACAGGCATGAATAAACATAAAGGCAGAAGAGCAAAGCAGAAGAAAAAACTTGTTGAATAAATTGCCCTTCTTGTAATCACATGAAAATAGAATAGAATATAGAATGATTTTCTATATCTTTAGCTACAGACTGTTAGTTTTCCAAACGTAATGTCTAAGAATCACAAGCGAGAGAGAATGAAGGCTGTGGAAGCAAAGCCACAAAAAATATCTTATGTTTGGAAAAGCCTGAAATAGCTGGTTAGCTGGGCATTCTGTTCTGGGAGCTTATCTTAAATAGAATGAGTCAATTTGCCTTGGAGTTACGAATCTTGGCTTTGCAAGCCTAGGATATTAAGTACAGAAGAAGTTATTACTGCAAAGTCTCATTTTTGGTGCCTTAATTCAACGGAAAGCCATCGAGTTTGTGGAAAATGCACTCTCTTTATAACCGTCTCAGTATATTCACACCAAAACTATGAGAATTAGGAAGCCTTCCTTCTACTCAGTTTAACTAAACATTTTGCATTGTCTTTTTCTTACTTACCATTTGTTACTATTCGAGACAGTAAACCCTGAGGAGGACAAGCAAATATTTGCCTCCACGTTCCTGCAGGTGCTGAAGACCCTGGTATCGGTTCTGGAGGCTGCTGAGCTGAGTGATTCAATAGAGCAGTTTCTTCTGTTTGTATATTCCCATCAGCACCTTTGGCATCTACTGTTGACCCCTCCTAAATGGAAACAATGAAATTATCTCAGAAGAGGCTCAGTATGCATTTGCAGTGACATACAACATACCTGCAATCGGTCGCAATACGCTGGATGCATCCTGTCTACTGATGGACAACATTAACTAAACAACTGCTGACTACAAGAAAGATTAGAGCTTTGTGTTGGATTTGGCATTTTCTGCTACGAGTCTGTTTTCATACGGCAGAAAGTTGTGCATATGAAAGACTGCAGGTCATTCATTTATTTACTGCTTTTAAATCCATTTCTGTGAAAGCTCCTGCACCTATGTGCAGAGCACTTGTTCAGCAACAACAGCAGGGTATTTGATGAAAAAACATCATTAATGAACTGTGCCCAGTTCGTCTTGTGTGTGAGCCAAACATTCATCAACATTTTTCCACAGTTCGATACGTTTCTGCTTCTGCAGTGGATTCTACAATGAAGTAACACTTTGCATCATCTGAGTGAGGCACTATCTTTAATGTAACTTGTAATTAACTTCTACTACAAAGCCTTGAACCAAAACAATCAAACCCACTTGTGATTATACAAAAATGAAAGAAACAGTGCAGATGGCAGTGCAAACATTACTCACACGATCCATAGTAGCAAGGCTCAAGCTGGTAAGTTGAGGTAGAAAAGAAGAAATGTTACCCTGGCAGATTCTTCCTTGAATAATGGCTTCTCGAGGCACAGAGTTTTTTAAAGCTGCTCTTTTATATTAATTCATCTACATATCGGAATTCATAACCAATATCCTTTTTGACCATTTTTGGATATGCGTCTCCCTTCATTTAAGGGTCCTTATTTTTAAGAAATTAATCATCTTTCTTCCTCTAAAATTATTCATCTTTGTGTCAGCCCATTGTCATAGCGTGGACATGGAACTCTCGCCCATGCTGCGGTTTGGCCTTCATCCAGTAGCAGTTCCACATTTCCCATTATTTTTCTATCTTTTATATATATATATGCATATATATATATATCCCTTACTCATAGTCACAGTTGGAACATCAAATCTTGTGAGCTTTCAAGCACGGGATTACTTGGTTTCCTATCCTGTGATCACCAGCTTCCCATATATATACGGATACACCACAAAGTACTTGTCTTGTGTCAGTATCATACACTTATCTAACTTAATGCAGTTTTCAAAACAGAATGTTTATTATGACAAATTCTCACAGAGGAAATTTCTCTCCACATTCTGTTCAGCATTTTGGTGGATTCAGCAAGGAAAGAGAAAGATTCTTCTAAATAAAGCTGCAATTTGAAATGCTAATTAATTACCTCACTTTTCTCATGCATGGGAATCATGCCATTTCTCTCACATACTGATGGTTCAGAATCTTCATTCACCGTATCTTCCTTCACCATTGTGGCAAAGCTAATGAATGCAATAGAGGTAGAAAACTTAGAGAAACAGGTAACAGCATTTTCCAGAGGCAACGCTTTCCTGTAATATTATTATTAATATTAATGTAAAAAAGCCCTCAAAGCCCTGTTTGAAATTTAACATCCTTTGCATGCCTGCATATGCTATATATAAGACAAAACACCGAAGCTAATAAAAAAAATAGTATTGTTTGCAAAGTCAAGCACTAAAAAAAATGTAAGTTTTAGAATCACTGTGATTTGCGCAAACATGTTACGCACTCTGTGAGAGCATGGCTGTAATATACATCTATATATTTATGTCTTCTGTAAGAACAAGAGAAAAATCACTTACTGCCAATACCTCTTGCCAGGACCACAAGCTCTGAAAGTGTCACAAAACGTGTGCACGTGGTAAGGCAAGTGACCATTTCATATAGATAGTAAGTGTAGTTTCTACAGCATACCCACAAGAGACACTTTCTTCCCAGCTAAAAATCTGATCAGATCCTGCTTGATTTTTAGTGAAATTTTCAAGGAGATAGTTCTGTTAGGCATCACCATTCAAATACACTGATTGAGTATCTCAGAAACAAAATGTTTGCTTGACTAGAGATCTAAGATACACCCAACTTATTCTTGGGCAAGACTAAGAAAAAACAGCTCTTTGTTATTGCTCATAAGCCACAGAGATCATTCTTAAGAGTGGAAAATTCTCGAGTTGAATGCAGATAATCATCATTGTATTTGCTCTAACTAGTCAATTTCTGCTGATACGTCAATGTACTAAATGTTTTGTGTGCGCGTGTGTGAAAATTTACTACAATTCCACAAGTCCGTGTCAGTAAGAGTTACACTCACAAGACTTGGTCGCATTGTCACAGTAACTCCACACCAGTGGTAACAGTACTTTTCTTGAAGTCCATTTCTCAGGCCCCATAAGCCACTCAAGTTGTGCCAAAACATTTGAGCCAAAAAATTCCCTCCTTGCTGAATTACTGGAAGCAAGTCAGAGACCTGATTCTCACCATTATCAAGCCTTCAGTTCATAATATCTTTGAGATCTGCAAAAGATTGATGCCTTGAACAAAGGTAGGGGCTATTTTAACACTTGGTTAATTTTGTTTGAGCTGTTCTGGTATGAAACTGGCTTGACACAGCTAAGACATACAGAAAGAATACAGAAAAACAGTATCAATGCGTTCTAGTGTAATGGTTTTGGTATCTCTCCCCATGGTATCTGTACGTCACTCTAATTTTGAAAGATGTGCGTGTGCTGGATGGGTAAGGGATAAAATAGATTGTTCTCATACGTGTTTGCATGGGAGATGATCCTAGTTCTCAGGGTCAGACACCTGTAGATGTGAAATACATTGATACGCACAAGGAAGAGGAGCCCACCTCCCAACAACTTCAGGGCCGGCACACACTGTTTACAACAGAGTAAAGGAAAGAAAAGACTGCAAAAGGAAATCTGCTTAGCGGGGATTTTTCCAAGGTAGAAATGAATGTCTCAGACAGCGTGAGCCTGCCCTTGTTTGCTGTGTGACAGACCTTCAGCCTTGGTTTTTGTTTTATAAATTTCCTCTGGACAGATTTCTTTGCAAATAAAATCAGATGGACTGAAGAAAGGTGGAACAGAATTCATACTCCATTAGGCCCACACTGTGAAAACTGGAAACCAGCCAGCAACATGCTTATTTCACTACAGCCCTCCGAAATGTACCTCCCTTGGCACGAAAGAAGAAAAGCTTTTTTATTACAGCTGTTGTTAGACCTTCTTATTTTATTTGTTTTGAATAGGAAGGAATTCAAAAGAGAGGGAAAGCGAAGCTCCAAAGATGACTGATGGGCAGCATGTGCTTGCCGATATTTTTAGCTCTATTGCCCTGGTGACTGTTAGCGCTATTCTGTGCATGCACACGAAGTGCCGCAGGCTCTGCCAAGAGCCACTAACGGCCAGCATTAAAGCAAAGCGTCAGCCCCAACCACCCGTCACCCAGAAGGCGTAAGCGCACCCTGATGCAACGTCCTTCCCCGCCTCCCCAGCCCGCTTCCTCCCTGCGCGGCTCCCACCTCTCCTCCTGCAGCCTGGGCTTACCTGTGGAGCGGCGGGAATCAGAGCGATCCCATGTTCCCGCGCAGCCTCTCCAACACGCCGAGATGGCGATGCGCTCCACCACGCCCGGCAGCAGGAGCAGCCCGCTGCCAGCTCTGGCTCCTCCTCCTCCTCCTCCTCCCCTAGCTAGTGCAGCACGATGCCTCCGCTATCCACAGTTGCACCAGGCAGGCTGCAAAATCGTCCCGCTGCAGGCAGGAGGGACCCGAAAGGCTTGCCGGGTGCCGTCTTCTCCTCTCGTGCCGTGCGCACCAGGCGGCAGCTTTGTTTGAACCGCGGAGCAGCCCCGAACCCACAGAGCCCGCAGCGCGGGAGAACAAGGGGAGGAATTACAGGGGGGAGGGCAAGAGAATCAAAGTGTTGGCACGTCTGTGGTGCTACCGTGAAAACATTCGTTTCGTAAAGATGCATCAAATACATCCGTCTCATCCGTGAGTGCACCTGGGGAAAGAGACAGCCCTTCTTCCTTCCTGTCGCTGAGTCACGCACTCGCACCGGGCTCTGTGAAAGCGGCTTCGATAGCAGCGCGTTGCTACTCAACTCCCAGCAGCGTTATGTAGAACTGGGCTGACAACGAATCTGGTTTCAGGGTTTTCTTTTGACCAGATTAAGTTTTCCAGGACTCCAAGCGAGGGATTTAAACACCCACCTTTCCCGAAGAGAAAATGACCTAAAATTCAGAGTCATGACCCTCCTTATCATGTGAATGGAGTGGCAGGAAAGAAACAACAATTCCCCCAACAACTCAGGGAACACAAGAGTATTAGAAAGGATTATCTTTTAATAATGCCAGTAAGCTTGAAAACACTTGATGTGTAGAGGCACACTTCAGACTTTTGGCTGTTAACACAACCCTGCAACACACGCACACAGTTAAGGAGGCAAGAGACAGCAATCACTGTTGGTGTGGTTATTGCTGTTTTTGTTTTTGACAACCAGCTCCACTGAAAAAATGCCTGTATCTGTGCTTTCAGTGCAATGTAGAAAGTGGATGCTATCTCCTTCTGTTGCAGGAGTGTTTTGTCTAAACAATATTTGAGTAGTGCCAGTGTATTACATTCACCAATCAGCTTAGAAATATTACCTATTAAAGTTCTTTATGCAATAAGTAATTTATAATGATGAATTTGAGAGAATTTTCATTTTCAAAATAGCATAAACTTCCTGCATTGCTACAAGTGTGGAGATCCCCTTCCCAAGGTAAGCCCTTTATACCATCTACAGAAGGAGGACTTTGGCCTTCACCTTAACCTCTGCAAACACCGAAACAGAATCCTGTTGGCCTCAACTTTCAACATTTGACTTTACATCAGTGAGTAGTGGTGGAGCTGTTTTGGATAACTTAGGATTTTTGTTCCAACTTCATCCTGCTTGGCTGCTGAGGTCACCTGAATGAAATGCCAGAAAGCGTAACTCAAAATCCCACAGACAAACTACACAGGATTGGAACATTCCCACTACAATTAAAGGTAAGAGCTAAAGTCCATAACCAGTCTGAGGAAGCAGGCTCCACAATACTTCTCATTTTAAATCTGTAAGCAAACACAAACAAGTTGTACAAACTGACTGATTGTACAAAGGCTGATTTGAACCAGGTATGTTCTTTATCTTTGAAATAAAATAATTTCTATTAATGCCTTACCAAACACTGAAGAACTCCAGTCATTTAAAAACGTGTCACTGTTACAAAAACGAGTACATGTTTTTCCCACTTTTTAATGACCAATAATACTCAGTAGCATTTATCTCTTAATTCTTCCCCTATATTTATGAGTTTCATACATATTTTTCATAGATATGAAAAAAAGAAATGGCATATAGCTTCATTCTCAAACAAAAAGCCATATTTATAGGAATTCAGTCCATGTCATTCATGTCAATTTTAACTGTTGGTGTAACAGATAGTTCTGGAATTCAGATTATTCATTGCCTTAGGTCTTTGGGTCATGCTTTTTTTTTTTTTCTTCTTCTCAGTATGATTCCATACCATGACAGTTTCCGATTCATAAATCAAAGCTTCATTGTGCTACTATGATCAATAGTAGCAAAAAAAAAAAAAAAAAAAAAAAAAAAAATCAATACAAACTCTTGTGGATACAATCATTTTGAGAGAAGTTTAGTTTTAATTTTTAGCAAGAACTACGTTTCTGTCTGAGAGTCAAGCAATGGAATATCTAAGCACAGAACCTAATCTGTAGAATTGATAATATCTGTCCTGTATTTGTACATTCACTAGTAAATCCTTCTGGGAGAGGAACATATTTGCTCTATCTAGAGTGGTAAAAATCTCACTCCTTTTGCTTTATACCAGAAGTAAAATATATTCTGGAAAATTCACATGTGTATCTAAGAACACTGCTTACACATATACATGTCTATCAGAGTGATATTCTTGAATAGTGTTCTGCACATGAAAAACAGAAGAAAAAGATAAGATATTTTCAAGACCATTTTAAGAGTGATTATGTCACTAATGAAATAGTTTGGGCCTCAGTTTTTCTCAGACCTCTTTGGTACTAGTAAATGTATTAATTTTGAAACTGACTGTGAAACTACATGATTCTGTAAGGCTTACAGCATGTGGAGAGCATAGTCTTAACAGAAATTCTTTACAGAGAGAGTGGTGAGGTGCTGGAACAGGCTGCCCAGAGAGGCTGTGGATGCCCCATCCCTGGAGGTGTTCAAAGCTAGATTGGATGGGGCCCTGGGCAGCCTGGTCTAGCATTAAATGGGGAGGTTGGTGGCCCTGCATGTGGCAGGGGGGTTGGAGATTCATGATTGAGGTCCCTTCCCACCCTGGCCATTCTGTGAACAGCCATTATAACAATTTATCTTCTATCATCTCTGCTTCACAAAGACAACGTCTATAATCTTCATATGCCTAAACAAAAAACACTGTGGAACCACAAGGCAGCCAGTCCTACTGCTTCTAATGGTCATAGCTTTTTAGGCTATGACTTCTTGTTGTTCAAAATTCCAACAGTCTAACTTGTCCAGTGTATGGGAAAATGGATATTGTAGTTGCAGAAAACAGCTGTGCATGTACACTGACTCCTTACTGTATGTGCAGGAATTTCTTCTGCCCATGCACTGTACATCCAGTGTCTCTGACAGTCTTGCACCTTCTATTTTGGATGTCAGTCTCAAGTCAGATTCTTTTCAACAGTCCAACACAAACTATTTTTCTATAGTCATTACTGTTTTCAGAAACCATTCTGCTAATGATAGAAGTGAGTAGAAACAAAAGTCTGCAAAGCAGGATAGATTTTCAGGTATAATTTGCAAGATCTAGTGTGTTCTCTAAAAGTAGATGTCTGTCATGAGTAACAAAATCATTTCAACCTTCACATATACCACTCCTGCTTTCTTCTGTTGTTTAAAATAAATATTAAACTTGATAATTTTTTGGCTGCTTTAAAAGTAGTCTGTTTTCTCTGGATAATTTCTTAATGCTGCTAAGAATTGTGAATGTTTAAATTCTAAATATTTTCTAGGCTGAGAATAACGATGGCATTAATTCCTTTCATTAGGTTTGCTTAAAACAAGACTGAGACGTAGAATGAGATCACATAACCATAAAAATGCACCAAATTTGTTCTAGATTACACCCTATAAATGATTCAAAACTTTGAAAACTCTTAACTGAGAAACATGATCCTCACTTTTTGCCTTTCATTGTATGGATTTCCATCTGCAGGTAGAGTTGATCACAAGCTCCATCCTCCATCAATGACAACTTCATTGCCGGTCATGTAGGCAGACTGAAATTACATAAAATATAGTATTTTTTTTAAATGCTATTTTTTTCCACAAGTAAGTGCTTTTTTAAAAAAATAAATACAAAAAAATATACACTTTTTCATACTTTTTTTTTTTTTTTTAAATAAGCTTAGAAACAGAAGCCTTTTGGCTAACTCAAGGGAGTGCAGCAGAAGCAGTATTAAAGGCAGTAAGACTAAAATACATCCTAAATGTGCAAATTCGCGTAAGATAGCCTTCACAGATTCCGCCTGCAGGAATAATGTTTTACACTATGATATCATTAGCTCCATATTTCATATTTCAGCTGAGCTAAATATGACTTAGGTCAACCAGTAAGGGGACCTAAATGAAAATTTAGATGACTTAGAATAACAAGGGGAAGAACTGAGCTGGAGACATCCTTTGCTGTATCCCATTCTGAAGCATATTGCAGAACTGGAATTCTGTTTACAGAAGATCACAGAAAACCATGTGATCAGACTGGAAAATTAGTAGCTTTACAGAAACACTGTTTGAGAACACGAGAAAGAAGATGAAAAGATTATGATAGGTGGAAACATCAAGACTGAATTAATTGCATTAAATTATTCTGCTGTGCCCAGCAGGATTGCTGGGCAAGTTCATTGGAACCTAGTTCAGTATTAGATCCATTGTGAATGTATAACATCTGAAATAAGCTTGATACGTGTTCATTAGTATTAATGGTAATTGCAGTGAACATTTAGAGTTTGGTCTATGAAAACCTCAATTGTTCTATTGTTTTCCTTAAGCCAAAATGGTAGGCTTAAACATAGCATTAGACCTCTTAGATCAGGCCTCTCTCTCATGGGTCTACACAAGTATTTTCTCTTGCTTACTGCAAGCAGGTAATGACAGTACTAATTCTACTCCCTTAGGAAAATATCTAACTGCAGAGCAAACAAAACTTGCAAGAGCAGACAAGCCCATTTCTCCTATGATTCAGAATGATCTGGGGTCAGTCAGCTTTCTCAAATTACATGGAAAAAAACCTGACTATGGCACCAAGTATGTAATGCCTTAATCACTGTCAACATTCAGAGTAATTTTTGTATCAGTTTTATTCAGTAAAGTTTTACTCAGTAAAGGTTTGGGGGTTGTTGTTTTGTTTGGGAGGTAATAATCAAGCTCATAACAAATACAAGCCCTCCTGGAACAAATTCTCTTTACTGAGAAGCAGCAAAATAAATTGGGATTGTGACAGGAAGTGTTATTGTTCCAATACTTACTTCCTCAGAAGCCAAGTACACAAAGAGATGGGCCACTTCTTCAGCAGTAGCCATCCTGCCAATCCTCTGTCTGGCTAGGAAATCTTTCAGTGCCTAGATATATAAAAGCATTTGGTATGTTGAAAATATAAAATAATTATTTTAATCCAAGTAGCATGTGATGTGTACAAAGCAATACTGGAAGCAAGCCATATGTTATAATTTTTAGCTTACTGGGTAGAGAGTGTGTGCTAGAAGAAGTTATAACGGTCACTGTTGTACAGATTTCATGGACCTGAACTTCTGGTTGCAGAATAAAGCCACTGAAGCCCTTTCTCTTTGGTGGATGATATTCCCAGACCCTTCAAATGAGTCCTCACAGTCATTGAGTTAGTACAATTAAAGATCCCAATTAATTTTTAAACACATAGGTCAGAATGCCCTCTCTATCATTGTTTTGTACTGGTCTGTGTTTACTGAGCAACAGTGACCTTCCAAGGCATTTTAAGCCTCCCATCCTCAGCAGAAATTCGCCAAGTTTTCAAAGACAATACCTACTGTTATATTATCCTTGGTACTCTAAGATAGGAATTTTCTTAGTTTGAGAAGTGCTGCAGGTTTGTTTTAGTAATTGAAAAAAGGATAAACATTGGTGCATACATGAACAAACTAATGAATTGTTTGCTCATGATATAGGCTGGTTGTTTAGCAATAGAGATCAGTATATTTGTTTAAGGACTGATACATTAATTTCATAAAAGAAATTGGTGAACGCTAGTTCTGTAACTTCCCATTTCTACTTAGCTTGGCGTGTGAACGGCCTTGTTTAAAAACTGTCTGGATGTGGTGCTGTGAAAGAAACCGCTTTTTTTTTTGGGCGGGGGGACATGATTTAGCAATGGGTTGTTTCAGTTAGGGTAGGTATGGTTAGGGTGAGGTTGAACTTGATGATCTTTAAGGTCTTTTCCAACCTGAGCAATTCTATGATTCCCTCAATGGTCCTGCTTCATGAGAAGCCCTGGAGACAAAGTAGACTGCTTCTATCTTCGCAGCCACCAGGTACAAGAATTTATTCCTCAGATTTCTCTCATACTGTTTTGGATTAGAGCATACTAACATAGAAAGTTGCTCATTATGGGCTAACAAGAAATGGAAATTTGGCAAGTTGGGGGAATACTGCTGAGTTCAGCCAAAAGTCTCTGTGATGAAACTGATGATGGAAAAATGGGGAGAAAGTAAGTGGCTGAAAACCACCAGAGGCTGCTACCATGCATGCTCAGAGGGACATTAGCATATATTAATGAATTCTTGAAAAAATGAATAGGTATGGAAATGTACTGTTTAAGTATGTCTTAACTGTTTGAACATAGAACTAGAACTCTGAGAGTGCACTTGTTTTGTCAAGTTGTCTGGTACACATCGTGAGGAACAAAGGAATGCTGCTTTCTAACACCATGTGAAAGTTCAAGAGTTTTCTTCCCAAATTTTGGATGACACTCACCTGATCTGGGTTAGGCTGGGCTTTGATTCTTTGCTGTAAAGATGGTGTGTCAACAGTACCTAAGCAAAAATTGTAATTTCAAAGTTAAAGCTCAACTTCATCAGCAATCGTAACAAAAAGTGTAGTTAATGGGTTCCATTTGTATGTCATAATACTGAAGTGTAACATCATAACGGAATTCACGAAAAGACTGCAAAACTATCAATATAGTCTAGGAGCCTAAATTTCAATAGAAGACTTGAGAATTACACTCAGTACTTTTCAGATGCTTGAAAAACAGCTAGCCTGTTACGTAGGCACCCCCTGCTTCTACATTGAGAAATATAGGTTTAACAATAAAAATACTGTGCCTCAAAATACTGTGTAATCTGTATATAACGAGCATGTGCTGGTTTAGCAAGTTGAAATTTTTAATTATAAAGTAAAAAGTTTTCTATTTTGAGAGTCAGAAACGTTTCAAATACATCATTTTTTCCCCCCCTTAGTTTCTTGTAACAATAGTTGCTGCTTACAAATCTATCTTTTGTTAATAATGTCAAATCATATTAGGCTGTATGCCTTTGATCATCCACTTGTATTAACAATGTACTGTAACAATACTTACCAGGACATACACAGTTGCATCTGATCCCTTGTTCAATGAAATCAGCAGCCACAGACTTTGTTAGACCAATAACTGCTGCCTTGGAAGTACTGTATACACATCTGTTCACAACTCCTACAGAAGGTCAGTATGAAGGCAGCACAGAAACAAAAAGTCAAAAAAGAACAGAGAGAAGTTTATTCAATATGCATCTGCTTCTGAACTGCAGTGTTTACTTTAGCTTGCCCTTGTGGAGAAGCTGTGCTAACTAGAACGCCAACTGCCAGAATTCTACTCAAGTACACACCAGAATAAAGCATAGGATTCTTCAATAACAGCAATCTGGGGAGTAGTCCAGAAAAAGTAACACTGCAAGCATACAAAGGATCATGAAGAGCAGAGTCTCCTCTTTTAGCCACCGTTACTTTTCGTTGGTAGTTATGATTGTATTGCTTATTGATTCATTGTTTCTCTAAGGAACATAAATAGCAAGAATCACTGAACAGAACTCTTTTCTCAGTTATTACATACTGATAAAAAAGATGCTACAAAACTTTCATAAAAAGATTCAAAAGCTCATAGACCATGACTTGACTGTTTCTGAAACTGCCCATGTGTTAATGTATATATATATTTTTTTTCTTCCTGCATTCCTCCTACGTTTGCCAGCATCCTCTAAATTAAGAGCAGTGCAATATTTATTGTCATTCTTACAATTTTCTAACCTGCCCCAAATATTATTATGCAGCTTTTCAACTTTTTTTTTTCTTAAGTTTTTATACACGTCACTGCAAATTATTATTACTGTTCTTAAGAAGACTGAAGACTTCGTAGCACCACTGTGTCCTTGCAGTACCACTTCACTGCCCTCATTGTGAACAGAAAGTCAGATTTGCTCACTTCAGCTGCCCTGGGGAGTACTACATACTAGGGAAAAAAAAACCAAGCATGAAGGTCTTTATTGTAGATCATCAGAAAGCAAAAATCAAAGCAAACACCTAGGCAACCTGAATAGAAGCAACCTGCACTGAACAGAGATACAAGCATCAGATCCAACACTGTAGCAAACCTTCCTTTATCAGGAGGCCCTCTGTTGTTACAAACCTTTGTTTTGATCACAAAACTTCATCTACAACAAACAAACCAGTATATTCCACTTCCTTTTACTGTAATTAAGCTGTAATTAAGAGCAACCCATTCTGTGTGCTGACTGTGGAATTACTACTGTACGTAACTTAACTAGAGCATGCTTCATCAGGAATACACACAAAGGATCAAAATCAAGGGCATTTGTTACACATATAAAAAAAGTTCTCTCTAGAACAGATATACAAATTTTTACAGAACACAGTGTCAACATGATAATTTAAGACTGATTTATGTAGGAATCACTGTAGAAAGCCTCTCACCTTTAATGCTGGATGCCACAGAAGACATATTTATAATATTTCCAGATTTCTGTTTAATCATCTGCAAAAGAACATTTACATCATTCAAACTGTTTTGTTATTTGCAGGCCTAGCAGAATAGCCAATAGCACCAACAGAATAGTCCTGTATACAATTGAAATGCAAGATAATGAGTCATAGGCATGAATATGTGCTCATTTATTTTTAATTTGTTATCTGAAGTAATAAAACAGATTCTGAAACTATCACTGAGTACTCTTGCCCACCCCTAGGATTTACCACCTAACCAATTGACAGGATTATTGAAGTGACACAACTGTAGCTTATCTTGTTCCAATTCACATCAGATAGAGCGGCTAAGGCTTAAAAAGAAAAAAAGAAAAAAAAGAAAACCTTTGAAGTGTGCTTGCGCTATAACCTTTTCAGGCATCTCAAAACCTGAAGTGTCTAAAGCTATTATAAACAACCTTTAGAAATGAAGATTAACTAATAAAAGTAAGGACTGGAGAAGAAAAAAAATTAGGCATCCAGTAATGGTCACAGCTACCTCTTTTGGCCTTTGCATTTACAGAAAAAGTTGCACAGCTATATGCTTATCTCAAATTGCAGTCTGTGACAAGCAATAACTTAAAACAGTCATATCTGATTGCAATGCAGAGAGCAACAAAGCCTTACTTTAGGAAGGAATGTCTTGATCATTAGATACATGCTGCGAACATTGAGGTTCATAGTAAAGTTCCAGTCTTGTTCTTCACAATCCAGAATGGTCCCATGATGAACAAACCTGGAATAAGTACACGATTACTGTGTAAGGTTTACATTTCTATGGCTTTTTATGCAATTCTGCCATTACCACTTTGTAGTATCCTTCCAATCCTGAAAATGCAGGAACAAGAGCCCTTTTGAAGGAAGTAGCAGTGTTTTTCATCAGATGAGTATCAGGGACACAAAGCAGACCAATGAGCAACAAAACATTTGCTAATAAGGAAATTAAAACACAAACACATGTTTAAACAAAGTGTTGTAAATCCACTGATTTTGCTCATTGTTGCAGAAGGAAGGCTAAATCCAACAGTATAGGGAATCCACAGAGTAGAGAAAACAGAGTTGAGAGCCATAGTATCTTGGCCTGGGTAACACGGCCACAAACAGTTCGCACAAAAAGTTCAGTTTTGATGAAAATATATATTTTAAGGATATAAAATGCATTACAACAACAACAACAACAAAATGGATTTAGGTAAAAGAAAGTTCTGGAGGATAGGAAAAGCTGAAAAAAGAAGTAGCATGAAGTAGAAGATGGTTACCCTGCAATATTACAGAGGACATCTATCCTTTCAATTTCCTCTGCCAGCTCTTCTATCTCTTGCTTTTTGGTGACATCCAGAACCCGTATTTGAATGCCTAGAAAAACATGGTTTTAGTTTAACTGGTTTTGGCTAAGAATTCGTACTTTATTTTTCTCAAGTGCTGAGGACACTGCACCTCCCATTCAAGTCAGTAGCTTGCCAGGAACAGACACCTCTCAGTGGTAAGACTTGGAGACTTACTGAAAGCTCACTTCACATGTGCAATGCTTAAAATAGGAATGGACAGCAGAGCATGGTATTCAAGTTTTCAGAAAGGAATTAAAAATACATTAACTGACTTAACAGCCACGTAGTATCACACAAACAAATAAGCTAATGTAATTTGCCATACAAATGACTTCCTCCTATAAATCTGAATTCCATTCCACTATATCCTCAAGCCAGGCAACTACAAAACTTGTATAATCCTAACAAGTTTTCATGCCCACTGTTATCAAATATTTATTACTTGGAACTAATTACATGTCTCACAATCACATTACCCTCTGTATACATGTAGTTCAGAATACTATGAAACAGATTAATATTTAATGAGGAAAAACGATTTCATATAAAGCATAGATAACTTTGGTGATGACACAGCTATCAAAATAGAAACAAAGAAAATCCAGCAGAAATCAGAATGAGTGTAAAAGGAGAAGTACTGCAGTACACTGCAGTAGTAGGTACAGTTAGGCTCCCAGGACACTACTGGGTTGCAGCATGGCCTTGGCATACCCTGCATCTAGGACTAAGAGACATCTAGTGCAGAACACTCAAGCTCCAAAAGATTTTAAAAAGCAACAACAACAAAAAAAAATCCACCACCCACAATTTATTCGTGTGCAAGCAGCAGCGACCTACAGTCTAAAAGAAGTCTACAGTTACCTATTGTGAGGATGTAAAGTGGAAGCAGAGTTTTCAGGAGTCCACAGAAGGGTGAAAGGCAAAATAAAGAATTTGGGAAGTCTGACTGAATGCAAAGAGGGGTGTGGAGTTTATTTTTTGTGCTTCTAATGGACTACTAGTTTAAAAACATGAGGTCAGTCATGCTGGAACAGAGGCCTACAGAGGTTGTGAAATTTCCACCTGAGTGGTCCTGAGTAACCTGCACCAATCAGACTTGCTTTGTATAAGAAACAGGTCTTAGCAACCTCCGGGGGGCTCATCCAGCCTACATCTGTGTCTTTTGAAGCAAACTGACAAGTCCATGAACATGCTTGACTTGCTTTGGTTAAATGATACAGACGCTTCTGAAGAGATTTGTGTATGATGATGTAATTAGTAAGACTACAGGCTAGTGATTAACATAAGCAGTAGAATTACCTCTTCTGGACATGATTCAAAGACCACAATGTGCCAAATCTTGAAGAAAGAGTTTAACTAATCACAAATCAAATGGATGGAAATGGCTGCAAATGGATGGAAAAATTGCTTTTTTTTCCTTCTGAGTACTAGCACAGGGAAAGCAAAACACACTTCAAATTGTAACACTTTCCTAAGCATGCTCAGAACAAACTGGTGAAGTCCCAGATTTCTTGAAGAATTACAGCAAGACTGCTTGCAGTGAACTCCAGTCAGAGAAGGCTAACATTCACATTAAAAGCTGCACCAGATAAGTGTTTTTGTTTATTTTGCTGTCACACTGTAATAGGAATTCATGAAGTTGACACCCAGTGATCACTGTCCTCCATCACCTTAAGTTAAAAGCACCTTTGGTTGTGAAATACAATTTTCTTGCTTTTTTTCTTTCAAGAAAGAATAACTTTTTAATAGTGTCCCACATTCGTACATCTCTTGTAATTAAAAATCATAGCTACTGAAAAATCTTTTCCTTGAAGCAGGTGTTTGCAATATGAGCTGGAAAGCAACTTTCAAGCCTGAGCATTTGTACAAATAAAATAAGCTCACTGATTGATGTAATTAGTTTCCAAAGATATGCCAATTCCTATTAGACAGTTATCTTCTAAATGCTTTCCTTGCTGAGTATGGACCAGGGAAATGCAAGGCACGAAATCTATTTGTATAGCTGGAGATTAGTTCCTATAATCAGGGATAAGCATTCTGTGTTTTTCACATGATATTTTCAACAGTCACTCCAGTAATCTTAAAAATAAATGAATAAATAGAAGTAACAAAGCATTCTGGAAGGAGGAAATCAGCTGCTTCTTTGACACAAGAAACACAGTTATTCCACACTCCCAGAATATCCTGTCTGAAACACTGATAATTGAAACATTTTACGTGTAATCTCTGCCATTATACACCACAGACTAAAGTAATGACAATAGCTAAATGATTACTCTCCATGTTTGCCACGCTTTTGTGGCCAGCCTACAACAATATTTATTATATTTGAACTAACGCTTACTGTAGATGATTTACCTGGATACTTCTCCAGTTCTTGCAGCTTAGTCTTATTGATGTCTGTAGCAATGACTTTGGCTCCTTCTTTAGCAAAAGCCTGAAGAATATAGTAAGAGATGTAGTTTGTTTTTAGATATCCCATATCTTACAAGAACAAAAACAGGTACTGAGATAACCCTGCTAGTTTCTGTCCACTGAGGAAGAAGGAAATAGCAGGGGCAGAACTTGTCAAAAGCAATAGTCAACAAGAAAAAAAAAAAAAAAAAAAATAAATCAATAAATGCTTTAAATTTTATTTTAACAATAACAAAGACATTTAAAAGGGTTTCTCTCACTTTCAGAAATTTAAACAGCAGCAAGCATACGTGATACGTATTACATTGACTCTATTGTTCCCTGATTTTTTCAGTAAGTAGTTCTGGCTTCATCTACAGCTTATTAATTTAAGAACTTGTTTGGTGCAGGTGTTGTTGCACATGCTAGCATCAGACATCCAGCTTAGGTACAAGAGAACAAATTTTATCTAACTCACGATAGCAGTGGCTTTTCCAATCCCTTGTGCTGCAGCAGACAGAAGTATTACTTTCCCATCAAGCCGCCCCATACTGCTGGCCTGTGCAAACAGAAACGATGAGTCTAATACAAAGTGAGTCAATATCATCCCCTGGGAATCAGGTGCAAATTCATTCCATAAACCAAAACACAATTCAGAGCATCTATACTATCAAGTCACAAAGCACTCTTCTGGGGTGCTGAGTCAGCCAAGGTTCTGAGGGGGCACTGCCTCAGTCTTGCATTTATAAGGACCAAAATGCATTTGAGCTCAAAAGCCAAGCTCTATTTTTATCAGACTCAAAACCTCATTTAAACAAGAAAAAAAAAAATGATGAGACAGAAGTAAAATAGCTTGTAATCTAGCATCTCCACTGTACACTGTATTCTTAGAATGCAGGTCTTTTCTATTTCTCTCAGACTACTATATTCAACTTCCTAGATGACAACACAATTTGCACAATACCCTCCAGGACTCTGTGAAATGCATTTTTTCCATTACCTAAGGCTGGCATTTGTCCACTTTGAATTTTCTTGAGGATCTCCCAGCACAGAAGATTCTCAGCTCCACAGAGTAAGAGGATGAAGATAAATGAAAATATGAAAATCCCCCCTCACTTTTACCACATCATTTGACATTAGAGAACTACTGAAGATGCTTGGGGCAAAAGGTGGGGAAGTTTTTTGTTTTTTTTTTTTTTTGAGTGCTGGATGACACAAATAACCTTCCAGGAGATTTCACCTTACTCAAGCTGTGGAAACCAAAAGGCAAAGTGCAGTTTTTTTCTCTGCCTAGATAGACACTTTCAAAGGAGTTATTGTTTGAAGTATACAGTGGTGAAAACAATCAAGCAACTGAGCTTCCCTATGTAGCTATGAGTGTAGGAATGTGTCCCTAAACCCTTAAGTTTTTAAAATATGAATCCAACATGCTGAATACTTCATTTGAGTTGCATACAAACACCGTTACTTCCCCTACATTAGCAACCAATACCACCGAGACAGTCAAATTCACTCTGTGATTTGTTAGTTCAGTTTAGGTTTTTACATCAGATTACTCATTCAATTTTGACTTGAAATCTTTCTTCCCCAGAAGCTTTGCTCCCCCCCCCCCCCCCCCCCTTTTTTGAGGCAAAACTAGTATATTTCTCCAAAGGTTACTGATTCAACATGGAACAATGGACTTCATTCTAAACAACTTGACTAAAAAGTTATTTCTGCTGTAATACAAAAGCATTATCTCACTTGACTTAAAGTCAGCCTGACATACATTTTTTCCAACCTAATTTTAGGGTTTTGCTGATAAAAGAACTGACACAAACGTAAAGAAAAAAAGCAAACAAAAACAAAATGACAAACCACCAAAATAGTCCACAATGTAAGCAGTAAGAACATGCATTTTTTTTTTTAACTAGAGAAAATTAAAAAAAATTGCATCTCTTTTTTCTAATTTGTGAAAGGCACAACACCTTGAACATAATTTTTTAGGTGAATAAAATGACGCATCTTAGGATGCCTCTGACATATGCTGTATCACTACATGAGATTGTGCCTGTGTTAGCAATTTTTTTTTCATTTTAACATGTGAAGATTGCAAAGTTAAACAGAGTAAAATGAGATCAATGTATACAATGAGGTAGCACTACCTCTGCAATGTACTGCACTTATAGCAAAAGTCCCAAGTTTGCTCAAAGCACTCAGTCAAGGCTGTGTAAACTCATTCTTTGCTGTTACACACATTTTCAATATTAAAAAAAAACAACCACCAGCTGAAGTACTTCCTCAAAACACCATTTAGATGTAAAATGCTTTATAAACACATTTTTGATCTGACAATGAGTTTTTGTGAACATTTGACACACCAATTCTATGAAGCTTTTGAAACGAAAGATTAACAGCCACTCACCAAAAGATCTCAGCCAGCTTGGTATGTGCAATGACCTTTGTTAAAAAGGAAGTCTTATGACTTTCCTGCTGTGCTTGTTGGGAGTTGTAGTCTAACTGGAAAGTTTCTCTATGATAGTAATTTCCTGTTGAAACACGAAGATGCTGCCATCTAGTGAAACTCAAGACTTCAAGTATGATTTTCTTCTGCACAGTGCAGGGACAAAGAAGGATCATAACGATATCAACCAAAAAAAAAATAAGGCTTTGTAACTCATCTGCCTCAAAAAAAAAAATTAAGTTTTTTAAAAAGCATTTCTCCTCCTCTCCCACTTTTTTGTCTACTGAATTGAGACAGACCTGAGCAGTACATTTGTTTTTCAGCTCAAGCACAAGAGAAATCTCCAAATCTTTTATTATTCCAGAAAGCAATTAATACAGTATAAAACTGTAAAAAGCAAACAAAAAACCCTAGAAAAACAAAAGAAAAAGCAAAACAAAAAGCAGCACAAGACAGCAGTGCCAGATATGCCTTCCACCCTTCTGAAAGATAGAATTTTTTTTTTTTTTACATGAAGTAGAAGAAGAGGAAAAGAAAACTGTGATAAACACAGGAAATTTTTTAATAAATAATTTGAAATTGTAAAAAAGAAAATCCCAAAACCACGCCAAAACCCAAACTGCTTGCATTTATCAAAGTTGGGGAAATAAGATACCCCTGCATATTCACGACTCTAGTAAGACACTGAATTTAGTAATTGTATTTCAAGACTGTTAGCTGAAAACACCCAGGTTCTAAAGCTTGCCAATATGCATTCCAAGTCAAAATTTTAGAAATTCAAATACTCAAATTCAAAAACTCAAGTTTTGAGTGCCAAATCTCTCCCATATAGGAGGGAAAGGATCTATTCCAACACTTCCTGTCAAAGCAAAGAGTCAGAGAGGAAGAATTAAGCAAAACACTGGTGACACAGATTTGTGCATTAGTAATCCACAGAAAGAGACTGCAACAGGCAAGAAACATGATGATAGAAGTGCTCTGATTACTAGAAAAAAAGCGTCTTTAGACAGTGAATCAGCATCCCCAGATCATAGCATCACATCACTACAAAAGTGAAGTGTTTAGATACTTAAAACATTAAAAGTTTGTCAGAAGAAACCTTTTCATACAGAACATTAAAATAGGCTTCAAAATTCAGATGAGTAGGATAGTAAAACATAGTCCATGTTACGACCCCAATTGTCCAGTTTTATTTTCAACTCATAATAGCAACAGGATAGTGTCAATCAGATCGACTGCTTACTGTTTGAAAAAGAAAATAATCCAGAACCCAATTTCAAGCAGGAAATAAAAGTATATTCAAAGATGACAAGAAAAACAAGTTATTTTTGCACCATAGTTTACTGAACTGCAGAAATATTTTCAAGAATTTAAGAGAAATCCTACAAAAAGAAAACAAACAAATTTAGTTGCAATATCCAAATAAAGAGGTTAAAGTTGCAGTGAAAAATGTAGTATTAAGAAAAAAAATATTAACTCGGTATAAAAACCATCTGTTGAGAAACAAAATGAACTAATGAGTAGATACAAAGCACCCAGAAGAGGACTGTTACAAAAATGCCAAAGAAGTTTAAGATCAAGAAGTTTCACAGTAGATCAGTTTGTGATCCATTCTTGTGTCCGTTTTTCTTCAGTACGTTAGCTTTACTTCCTTTGCTACACAAAACAAAAGCAACCAAAGGAGAACATCAGCAGGTTGCAGGTAACATGTCTACTTTCCCATTTTTGTTCTTGTTTTAAAGCTTTTCCACTTCTGGGAAGTAGTAGTTCCAACACAAGGGACTGGCACGCCATCAGGGTTCTTCTCACAATAGATGGCTTTAACCTGAAGCAACCATTTTCCATGTAGCTAGATTCTGATTGTAGCCATTGTAAAGGCAGCTAACAACAGAACACCTCTATTGGGTGTTACAGTCAGAGACTTTATCTTTCTCTGAAGTTTCAAACCACTTCTTAAGATGGTCTTCTGTGGACTCCATTCCTGCAGGTTGTGTATCTGTACAGAAAATAAGAACATTAAAGTGACATTTTCCCAATTAGACAAGCAGTAGGAATATAGCAATTTATTCTCGACTAGTTTTAAACATCAGCTAGCAAAACTTGCCTCTGAGAAGCATGGTGCTGTGAAGAAAGCTATACTATTACCTAGTTGGACTTCACAAAAAATGGCAGTGAGTCATTCTTTCTGCATGTCTGCCAGTCTAATCGTTGTTAAAAGTCTTCAGCATGCCTGCTGGAGCTTCATGAAAGCTTTTAGAAGCAGGTTGATGAGGGCAGTAGCACTAATATGCTAAAATCACTACACTTCCCAGAAATCACCAGTCCAGTAATAAGAAATATCAGAAAATATCAAAACAGCTATTACAGCAGCTAGAGACTGCCATGCTGGCAAATTCAAAATCCAAGATCAAAAATCAATAATCTTGATAAGGAAATATTACAAAGTAGGCAACCAGCAGTTAACTCTGAATAGATGATAGCACAGTCTGTGAAAATCAGTTTTGTCAGAAGTGTGTGCTTAACTGGTGTAAAAGTTAAAAAGCAAAAGATTCTAGAGCATCATTTGACACAATATTCTACCTCTTGACTTTATAAAGCAATTGGTCATCAGCACTTTCTGTGAAGCAAAAGAAATAATAAGTTTGCCTAATCTTCAGGAGGTATGTGTCCTAAGTATTATTCAGGTGATGTAGAGCACGGATAATCTTGGCACCAGCTGGGCAGCCCTTTAACAATCTGCTGAATAGGCATTCAAAAAAGCTGCTTCTATATGTTTCAGGTCTGATCAGGGAAAGTACAGGACATCTACTCTCAAAGACCACCCCTTATATTCTGTCTCTCCTAATAACTTTAATAAGACACCACCATGTTACATACCTATTAGTGTACTTAAGTTGGAATTATCAAAGAAGTTTGTTGGACATGTCAGTGGCAGAGGCTTTGATATGTACTGAGTCACAGTTTCCTGAGATACAGACTCCTTGGAGGGTGAAGCTGGCTCTCTAAGGGAACGTGAGACTGTCTTCTTTGGAGATCTTGGTACTGTCTCTTGAGTAGCCTCTCTTGAAAATCGTTCTCTCAATTTTAGTGCTCTTTCTTTCCATTTTCTAAGTTCCTCCTTCAGTTGAAGCTCATTACTGAGTAGGAAAAAAAATTCCAGCATTTCATTAATAAAAACCTTCAGTTGTTCTCTGAAGTAAAAGGAGAAACACACACACAAATACATAACTAGCTTAATACAAGTTTAGACTTGCTACATTCTTTTGCATCTTAAGAGGAGCAGTTATTCAGTTCTACAGGTTTCCTAGAAAGAAATGGTGATAATTACTTACTTGATGCTTACCATTTTTATGCTTACCTTAGTAGAATATCATTTTGTTTCTTCAGGTACAAGTTTTCTTTCTGCAGCTTAACTTGTTCAGATTTTAAAACAAGCATTTGTGTGCTCTGCACAATACCACTACCACCACCACAAGTAATGGGGATGGGCATTTGGGATTTCTGGGGAACTTCTTTTTCAGACATTACTAGAAAAAATTTCATACAAATATGTGTATTATTATTACAATGCTTAAAAATCACATCAATATATATTTTAGATATGTCTATACAAGATTTCTTCCTGTAGTCTTATATGTAAAGCCTCAATAGGTTACAAGTGTCGTTACAACAGCTATTTTTAAAACCCACTGTATGGGAGCTGTTGAGTCATGGCCTGAACCACTGATTGATCACCTGAGGAAAGGACTGGGTCAGCCCAGTGGGAGCACAGGTGAAGGCAATTCAACTCCTTTGTGGAGTCCCTTTCTGCAAACCTAGATCCTTGGATACAGATGAGCATTCTTTCCCTGTTTCTTTTCCTATTTTCACACAATCTATCTAGCTGTAACACCAACCTTAACACCCACCATCAGTAATCACATTGCCAGGGAGATATTAAGAAGCATAAGAGATGCTTCATTGGGCCATTTAGTTTAATGTAGTTATATAGTTTGAGTTGTATCTCTGTGTAGGGATCCTCAGTACAGGAGAGGCACGGATGAGTTGAAGTGCATCCAGAGTAAGGCCACAAAATGTGACTGAAGGGATGGAGAACCTGTCCTACGGAGACTGGCTGAGAGAGCTGGAGCTGTTCAGCCTAAAGAGAAGGATCTGAGGTGACCTGATAGTGAACTTTCTGTATGTAAACAGTGGCCACAAGAAAGGTCTGTTGTGATAAGACAAGGGGAAATAGTTTCAAACTAAAGGAAAGGAAATTTAGATTGAATATAAGGAAAAAGATTGTTTTTATAATAAGAGTATTGAAGTATTAGAACAGGTTGCACAGAGAGATATGGTGGATGCCCCATCCCTGGAGACATTCTGAAGATAAGGTTGTTCAGAGCCCTGTCCAGCCTGATCCAGTTATTGGTGTCTCTGTTCACTGCAGGGGAGTCGTACCAGCTGACCTCTAAAGGTCCATTCCAATTCATACAGTTCTATATTTCTAGTTCTAATCATAGAATTAGAAACATAAGGCACTACAGCTGCAGCAGCTTATCATTATGATTGCTAGTATAACTGGAGAAATAAACAAAAAACACCAAAACAGTACAAGACCTGCTGTGATTCTAATACATTGCACATGCAGTTACTGTATTTTTACCTTCTATCTCTTCCAAAGCACCTAACCCTTCTCATATCTTTTTGAAGTAAAAGGCCTGCATCCCAATCTGGAATTTAAACTACGTAACATTAAAACTGAATGCTTAATATGAAACAGTCCCTTATTTATGTCTTGAATTTACCAGTAACATCTTGCTCTTGTTGCGCTCTTCTAAGTTCTTCTTTTAGCTTTCTTAACTGTTCTTCTTGGTGTTCTGCAAGAGCTTTATAATTAGCAAGTCTGCGTTGGTGGGAAGGCGGGGGGGGAGGGAAAAAAAAACAACACATTTTAAGCTTAGTAATCTAAGTTGCAGGAGAACTATTTGATTTTTCAATTGAGCTAACAAAGAAAAATGC